ATGAATATGGAGACATTGAACTTACCTTCTCCATAAGAGCATCCAACTTGTTTGAATCACATCAATGAGTGGGTTGAGGCTCATCAGCTTCAGCTAAAAGAATAGGTTCAATGTCATCTACTGCATCAGCAGCATCCCAGTCATCTTCTTTGTCTAGGTCTTGAATTGCAACAGGTTTGTCTTCCTCTTCTGCCCTTGCAACCATGTCCTGAATATTCAGTCCACAGTTGGAATTGGGATTGACTGGCAGTACAGAAACATTGGTGATTTCAGAGAGAAGGACTGTATCCTCAGGCTCCTTCTCTTCTTCCATGATTGTTGGGTTGAAGTCAGGGAAAGCACTGCACATTGCATTATTTATCTTCACTGTGCCTGCACTGAGGCTCAGCGCCGGGCTTTTTGAAATGTTGTACTTGTGCCAATCATCAGCCTAGGCCCTTTGCCATTTCCAACCACTATTCATTTTCACAGTGCAGTGTGTCTTCCCACATATGCCCTCCTTTGGGAGATCAAAACTTGTGCTTGTTGTTCACAAAAAATGCAAAAAACCACAGTTGTTGGCCCACTGCACTGAGATTAATTGTGCTGACCTTACCGGGGCTGACTGCACCAGAGGGGTCTCCAAAGTTTTGGGTGACTGTGCCCCAGCGCAGCGCAGTGGGTATGTGAACTTTGGAAAATTTTGGTACAGTGCAGTTTAGCACACTCTGTGCTGGTCTGCACTGGGGTTGGCTGTTGCTTGAGTCCATTACAACCTCTTGAGACCTACAATCAACATCTCAAGGCTCTCAAAGATGCATCTCCTAGTTATCTTGCCCCCAATCACATAGGCAAGCAGCTCAATGGTTTGTTCCGGTAAAATGGTATTTTCACCTGCAAAAAGCAGGAATAGACCTTTCATAGGCCTACTCAAAGTGGAATGCAAGTATTGGCTTGCTTTCACCAGGCTAATAAAGAGATCTGGTGTTTACAACGGGAGACTCGCCTACTCATGCGCTGGGCAACTGATTGCTTTCAAAATTGAGGAGATCTTGTTCTGCTACTTGGACTCAGAGGAAGGGAAAAGTTTGATCCAAAATTGGTCACACAAGCCCAGTTGAAGTAATTTATGGACAGCAAGATCCTCACTTCTCTCTCCCTCAAGGATCACAAGGCAGTGGTCAAGACGCTGGTTCACAAAAAGTTCATCAGCCTCTGTAAACCGTATGGGAGTTGGAACAAACCTCTCCTGGAAGAATTTCAAATGTTGTCTTCAGCTCAGCCTGGTGGCGAGTCTCTTGCTAGCAAATGGAATCACCAGATAGCACAATGGGGATACATGCAAAAATTACAAGAGACTTCAACCGTCCAAGGAGAGATTGAGGGAAAGTTGCTTGGAGCACTTAGAGCATCCCCAATGCGCCGCCGGAAACGTAACTTGGACCTTACGTTCCTGACATAAACGTAAACTTGGGTTTACGTTTTCCAAAAAAGAGCCTCCAGCGCGGGCTAAGAGTCGCACAGTTGGCCACAGGTGCGACTCTGTTTTTTTGTCCAGCTGGAATACGTAACGATCGAGCCAGTTGTTTCTGGCTGAGCCGTAAAGCTCGGAAAACATATAATCACACGTTTTGGACACCATGTGGGAAAAAAAAAACTCTCTTTGGGTGTTTCGTGTGACCTCCTCACAAGATCCAAATATCACCACTCGAAGTAATCGAGATTGTGATCCAAGTGATCGATCTGATCATGCCCGATATTCACCCAGTGTGGTTGTGTAGATTAGATGGCCATGTCTGTGCCGATAAATGATAATGAGAGAAAACCATGTATGTCCGTGCAGCAATAAAATAAATTAGCTGTGTCGCCCTACAGCTGAAGACCAAGTGCAACCTCCAATCTATTCTATCCATCGTTTGAACATACAAGTTCCTCAATATACTGTTTATATCATTCAATACCCAAGTTATCCATACATCGTACAAACCTCGGTTTATAATCCTCCTTTTACACCTCGTTTTATCAAGTTCCAATAATCCAGCAATCATGCAGAATTCTTCTTTCTCCCGTGCTAGTACTGCCATGACCAACTTGTCTATTGAAGGTGTTACCGGACAACGTGAGTATGACTTCATTATAAGAAATAAAAGGTTGTACAACCTTTGTTAAGCTTACGCATCTGTTGTTTATAGGAAGCGGCATGAGAGGTCCTTCGACTGGCGGGACTTCGATCCAAAGGTTCTCCAATGGCGCGCATCCTTATCGTGATGGCCGTCAGGACTCGCTAGAGGCTCATTCGCAGTACAGTAATGATCATCAACATCAACGTGCCATGTATCTCGATGGTCGTGAGGAATCAATTGAAGGCCATTCCCAATACCGCTACAATTTCCACCATAATCGCGAAAATTACATCAGTGGCCTTTCGCAGTCCACTTACAATTCAGGTTATGATGCCCGTCTCAATGGGAATCATTTTCGAGCGCCCTCTCCCGATGACGAATCGGCCAATAGCTCCTCTGAATTTCCTGCTAGTACTCCTGCATCCATGCCTACTTTGACTCAAGCATCATCGACTCGATCACAATCTCGACATCCTTCTCAAACAACTGCTGACGCGAGACCCACCAGTCGAGGCTCGAATTTTGATGAGCGCTCTCTGAACCAACTTTGCACCTCATGGCTTCACGTTTCACAAGATTCTGCAACCGGCAATGATCAAAAATCAGCAGTCTTCTGGAATAAGATAGCAGATGATTTCAATCTCCGGATGGATGCAAAATCCCAGCGCACTTCGAAATCCCTCAGTGCTCGATGGGCGACTCTCAACACTAGCATGTCAAAATTTGCGGCTTGTTTTTCTCAAGTTGTTACAGTCAGTTGCAGAAAGTTTGAAAAAATCGCAACCAAAACCCAGCAAGGTGGTCCGTGCAATTCGGGGAACCAGGCGGAATCTGGCAGAGACCTGTAAGCCATGTGGTGCCAAACCCCTCCAGCCCCATAGTGACCGGGTTCTCTGGACTTCTGACTCCTGTCCAAGGATACAGGCCAGAACGGAAAAAATTTTCCTCACCCGTTTACACCCAACCAACCGATCTCATCCACATCCAATCCTTGCCTTCCATTCCATTTCAGCTCTCTGGTTTCTTCCCCGTGATTTCCCTGTAAAATCAATGGGGTATCAATTCTACTCGGAGAGCATCAAGCTCTTGGCCACCCAGATGGCCATCGACGGCGTCGCCCTCGACACAATCAATGTCACACTACGAACCAAGATATCAGCCGTCTCCCTCTGGCGCTGGAAAACCCTCTACGCCGCAACCAACAGTGTGATCCACGACCCTAAAGGTTACCAGACCCGTGGCCGACCCCATGTGTTATCCGAAGAGCATCTCGCTGTCCTCTACGAAATCGTCACCGGCAACCCCTCGATCTACCTTGACGAGATCCAACAGATCCTTCTACGACTTTCAGACATTCCAATTTCTAGAGCCACAATCAGCCGGGAGTTACACCACCGCTTAGGGCTGTCGCATCTCGTCGCTCGCGGGGTTCATTCGGCGCAGTCGATTGAAGACCGCACCGCTTACATGCTGAGAGTTGGAAACATCCCACCAGAGTATTTTGTATTCATTGGTTCGTCTCTCTCTCTCCATCTTTCCAGAGTGTGACTTGGCCATTAACAAAGCTTCTCCTCGATTAGATGAGTCTGGCATCAGGGGTCGTGATACGCTTCGTTACAGGTGTTGGGCTCCCAAGGGCGGTCGCAGTGTCCGACAGCAGCGCGACAACGATACTGAGCATTGGACTATCCTTCCTGCCGTGTGCGAGCAAGGAATGATAGCAGGCGTGGTCCACGAAGGCCCGGTCGAACGAGTCCATGTGGAACTTTTCCTGGAAAGGGAGTTGGTACGTGCCATGTGTGCTTCCAGTCGACAGGATGTGACTGACTCTGATCTGATCGTCTCAACGACTCTAGCTTCCTGTCATGAACCGTTACCCTGCAGTCAACTCGGTACTGGTCCTCGACAACGCACGAATTCACCACGGAGGGATCATCGAGCAGCTTTGCCGAGATGCTGGGGTTCTTTTAGTATACTTACCAGCTTACTCGCCGGACATGAATCCCATTGAAAACTGCTTCCACAGCATGAAGGCTCAAATGAGGAGGGATAACATCTGGTTTCACGTTGAGGACTTGAGTGACTATATTTTGATGGTGGCCGCTCAAGTGATGACCCGCAAGCTGTTACAACCGTTAATTGCTTTCTGTGGATACGCTACCGCGGACTATTGGATGGCATACAACGGTCCAATTGATGTTGATGAATAGGAACTTAGATTTTCTCACTTTGTTTGAAGGATCTTCTATTGTGTGTTAGTGTTGCAGTGCAGAAGTGGCAAACTGGCCTAACCCAAACCCCATGCTTAGTAAATAACGTATTTGAACAATTACCCAATTTGTCTGAATGACAAAACTTTGTGACTTTGTGAGTTACAGTGAGAGTGAGTGAGTTTGTTAAATTGAAGTGCCGAACCCAGTGAGATTTGCTTCACCAAATCCAGGAAGATTTCACCTGTCCTGTTGGATTTTGGTGATGTGAGCTTTGAGCTCGTCTCACAGGAGAGGAGAGCTCGAAATAGCTCAGGACAGGAGCATGTTGGCCTAAGTCGGCCAAACTTCGGCCAACGTCCGCCAAACATGAAGCAAGAGAAATGCGGCAGACATTTCGAGATTTCGAAATGTCTGGGTGATTCAAAGGTTCACAAAACCTTCGGTGGCTCAGGTGACGCTCATGAGCCTGTTGAGAACGGCAGAGCCTTTCGCTCGCTCACACTGGAATGGACACTTGGTCTTCATCAAACTTGTGATTTCATCACATTGGTCATGCGGTTCATTGCTCATCACATGTTTCGTTCACTGTTCACAACCACAACTGTAACTAAGGTTAGGTACTGACCATACACAAGCTAGCTCACACACAAGATAACCAAAAACTATCAAATTGGTGACATAACACGCGAGGGTAGTGACACCAAACTAATCATCATCACTGTCAATAGTGGGGCAATCTGCCCTCCCTTTACCCTTGGCCAATCTTCGCTCTTCGTTCTCAACAGCGGCGAGATAGAAACGACGAGATTGGGTGAATAGCTCGATCGCGCTAGCCCAAGATATTCCCCAGGCTTGGACATCACGCACATTCATGACTTCAGGAAATAAGAAATAGTGAAACCCGGTCACGCCATACGCCATGAGGATGGTAGCCACCTCTTTAGATGCCTTATTGCTCAAGTCGCAGTAGGCCAAATAATCATCTAGGGTATTGCGGAACTGGACCCGTTGGAGCGTGTCGAAATTAATAGTGATGTGGGTGCCCTGCATTTCCGCATAACTGCCTGGTCTGACGTACGGGCGATCTTCGATTGGCTTGTGACGCTTAGGTTCAGGGAGCGGAGTTGACTGATGAGGCCGCTTAGGGAGGGTTATGTCTTTCCAGACAAACTCCTCATGGTCCGGTGGTGGATCGTCGATGGTGACATCCTTGGTGTTGTCGGCCTGTAGCAAAGTAAAAAAGATGTGAGATTCAATCGAGGAAATACCAGGTCGCAGACACACTTACCAACAAACGAGCCCATAAAATCATGTGGCGAAACGTTAAGTCCATCTTCTGGGACAGGTCGGCTTTATTGAAAATACGATAGCCCTTGTTGTTGTTGGTTTTCATGGAGGAGTGACGCATCTGCAAAGACTTGAGGGCTTTCGTGACCGGGTCCGCAGGTCTACATCGAGCAAGGTCGTTCGGCGTGGTATTCACGTTGTCGATCTCGTTCTGAGCGCGCAAGCGCGCTTTTTTCTTCAAAACCGCCTGCAAAGAACAGGTTGGTAACGTTAGCAAACATTACATGGATGTGATGCAGGGTTTGCGGATATAAACAGAAAGAAACACTTACATCTTCGGCTTCTTGAGCCGATTTCTGCGGGTTCTCCATAGTGACAGTGAAACCGCACTCTTTGAGAGGCGATCCCCTGACAGCCTTAAAGAAACGAGCGACATCGGCATTTGAACTTAACGGGACCTCCTTGCCCTTCGCAAACTCTTCGTGTTGCTTGACGTGGCCGGAGATGATGACCAAATTCTTGGCATCCGCAGTTTTGAGAATCGCAACATTCCCACAGTTGTCATCGTCCGAAGTATCAATCTCGCTAGCGATGCGGAAGAGGCGGCTTTTCAGGTGGGTGATACTTTCCCCGTTCGTGTCAAAGGTTTGATTGGTGGTAGGGAGAGAGATCGCGGAGTAAGCCACCTTCTTCTTAGACTTAGAAGGGCCCTTCATCAAGTCTGCTTCCTTGGGCAAGTAGAGAGTGAACGCCACAGATAGAGAGCGCATGGGATCCGCGGGTGCTTGCTCGCCAATGTCTGATGTTAAGCAATCCAAAACAATGGCCAACGTTAGCATGGAATGGCTTTGAGCACATCCAGACCGACTTACCTTGCGATTGCTTCGTGATCGCTATCACACCCATGTCCGCCTCGCTGGACAGTCCCAGTATAATCGCTTTTGGCTCTTTCGCATGGGCACCTGCTTGAGATGGTAGAAGTGAAACAGAAAAAGAGAGAAGAACATGAGGCACAAAAGGACGCTGGGAGGAACGGTATATGTTATACCTTGTGATTTCATGGGGGTATCCTCCGGTGCATCAAAGGGCTGGCTGGACGAGCGTAGGTCAATCTCGATAGGGTATGTCGGGTTGGAAACGGGTAGCTGGCGCATTACTACACCCCAGAATCCCACGGTTAGCTAGCGGGAAGGCGAAATTTCAACCAGATTACTTACCATGGGACTTTGTGGGGGTCTCTTGAATCACTTGATCGAGATCAGGCAGGCTGGAAGACACCAGGGAGTGGATATCTTTTCCGGCGTAGAGCCCATGGTGGTAGTAGTGGGACAACAAGATAGGAGATTCCATCGGACTCGGCATGGGGATCCTGATCGAGGTCCCGGTTTGCTTTTGGGCCAGTGGACTCTCAAGCGCTCGTGCACGCTGAGCCCAACTCCTGTCGTGGTTAACATGAGTCAGCTCGATTGCCAAAAACATCATAAGGGCGGATTTTGAAAGTCACGAGAAAGTTGCACTTACGGGCTAGGGGTCGAAACCATTCCACTTGGCACGGGTGAGATTTGGCGGTTCATGATGTGAAAGCGGTGGTGGATAAGAATTGTCAATCTGAACAGTGTTTGATTGAAAGTGATGCAGGCTGAAGATCGAGGACAAGGGCTTGTGGTAGCTTGTGGTGCAATGCGATCAGGCCGTGAGTCAATCGTGCATCCCAAAACGGTCAGTCCAGAAAAAAAAGGACGGTCAACTTGTGGGTGAGATGGTTGCGGAAAGGATCGTTGGCATGGAATGGTGTAATCAACAAAATGAACTGGGATTCGGTATGGGTCAGAAGCTGATGGAGGTTTTTGGCGGGATGTGGCTTCCAGACGGCTGCCAGGTTTCGTATACTTCTAGATCGCGCATGGACCACATGACCTTTCGTTTGGCTCAGATTTTTTCAAACTTTCTGCAACTGACTGTATGTTAAATGAAAGTGGAAAGACCCAAGCCGATCAGATCATGGATGCTCTCACTATGTATCAATCTGACACTAATTCGGCCTTCAAAGATATATCAAGCTACAATATTGTCAAAGACACTCCAAAATGGCAACTGAATCCTTCGTATGTGGAACATTGCGGTCATTTGAACGGCTCTTCAGAACACAGCGGATTCAATCTTGGAAGTGACCTCGAGAACTTACCTAAAATGGACCGACCTATGGGATCCAAACAGGCTAAGCGAGGTCGATCCAATCTCTCTGAGGAGTTGATCCCCCAGCTACTCGATAACCAAGCACAGATGTTACAGACTCAAAACTCTGTAGCTGAGTCTAACCGCGAGTTAGCATTGCAGGGCAAAGCGGCGCAAGAATCACTTCAAAGTATGGTGGATTACACCATTCTTACTACTAAGCTTTGCGACCTTGATGACGAAGCACGTGAAGAGCTCCAAGCCCGGCAAGCTGAGGTAATTCGGCGATCGCGCGCTCGCAGGGAACGTGAATAGACCACTCACATGTATCTCATTTATTTCATTTGTTTACTATCTCCTTCTTGATTGCTATTTCTCCTCGTACTTTCATTTACTCTCTAACTCATTTGTCACGATTTTTCTATTGTCTAGCTTCAATACTCTCATTAATCACATTAGTCGCAATTTTCAATTTGTTCATTACTCTCATTAACTCATGAATTTCATTATACATTCTTTTCGGTATCTTTAAATGACTACAACAGGCTCTGCCTGTGTGACCGCAGTTTGACTCGCCGGAGCGAATCTTCATGAGCTCTTTTGGGTATCTCTGTCTTGTTGAAATTCTAGTTCGCAGTAATTTCAACGCATCTTCCATGTTTACGGTTGCCACCTGGATTATGTGTAGTCCATTTCAGATGAATGTATAAAAGAGACTCGCTGATGAGGTCCAACGTACCTTCCTCATCAAATAGTGTTCATAAGTTGTAAATATTCCTCTTCATCTGTTATATAATCACAAATATCTGTTGAGCATTCTATATCATCAACGAATATTTGTGATTATATTTCTACTTACCTTTCACGTCACCTATAATAAATACTCAATGGCTAATTGTGTCTGCGACGATGTACGACTCTGGGGTGTTAAATCAGAAAATGAAGTAATTGGAGGTTTGTCATTCATCTTGATTCATTATGAGCTACAAGCTTTCTGACATGGTTTTACGCAGAATGTTGGGTTTGCAAGTTCCTGGTTCCTCAACTTAGCCCACGTCAAGTGCGATACTCTAATCGTCAAAATCGAATCAATCGAAATGAAAATCCCGGTTCCAATGAAAGTTGTACCTCCTCAGGTTAGTTGTATAATTTTGATTGAACGGTCAATTAATAATAACTAAATCATCTTATTACAGAGACCTGGGTTGGGGTCTTACCAAAAGCAGACATCAGTAGCCCGGGCTTCATCAGGGAACGACAACGGCTTGAAAAGTATTGGCGTGAATCAGAAAGACTCAATGCTCAGCGTAGCATCAAGGTGTCTATACAGAATAAGCGACACGATGACTTTGCTTCACTCCGAGAAGCCCTATACCAAGTGTATCAATACCGCGGACCGTTTCTGCAAAGGCCTGGTGACAAGAATAAGGCTGTTCAGTACCTGCGTCAAAATGGTTTTGGCGCGATGTTTGTGAGAATTGTTGAACATGAAGTCAAATGGAAATGGCTTCACGATCGGGTGTCTATGGCTGATAACAGCCATATCTTCAACCCAGATGTGCGCATGTGATGACTACATCTGCTCATTCACTTTCTGTTTTTTTACCTTGTCAGTTGATTACCTCGGTTGTGTTTGTCTCCCTCATGTTTTCGCTTCTCTCACTTTCTCTTCTCTCACTCGATCAATATGTACAAACTTCAATGACCGTTGATATATTACATGGAACAAATAGGTGAAAGAAATGAACTGAAATGACACGTTATAAACTATATACACACACACAATCTAAAGTAACACAAACTAGACCCTTGGTACCCCTTCTCCCTCACGACGAGTGTTCCAAATTTCTTGGATCAAGTCGTCTCGAAGTGCAAAATGCGCATCAGCCTCACGGTATGCACTCCTGCCCTGCATAAAACGTGCAGTCAAACCAATAGGCCTAGGAAGCCGAGGTGGCGGTAACAACTCTTCGCGTTCAAAATACTCTAAACCAACATCTCCCTGCGATTCAATAATCATATTATGCAATATGATACAAGTGTTCATAATGAGAGCAAGAGAAGATGGCTGCCACATCCGGGCAGCACCCTTGACAATGTGAAAGCGTGCCTGTAGAACTCCAAAGGCACGTTCCACATCCTTTCTCACCTACTCTTGGTATTTAGCAAATAACTTCAAAAAATCAACGAATAAATTAGACATCCTTATCCGGAACGAAAGAAATAAGTTGAAAACGATAAACATACACTAAGTTCTGGGGTAGAAGGAGCACTAAATGTTTTAACCAACGTAGACCAGTTCGGGTAGATGCCATCTGCCAAGTAATAACCAGTGTGATAGTCGTTACCGTTGACGACAAAGTCACAGGGAGGCGCCTCGCCTCGTGATAGTTCGGTGAAAAGACTAGAGCGCTCAAGGACGTTGATGTCATTCATAGCACCTGGCATTCCAAAGAAGGAATGCCAGATCCATAGATCTCGAGTAGCAACTGCTTCTAGCACAAGGGTTGGCTTCCCTTTTCGACCGGAGAAGTGGCCTTGAAGCGCCTTGGGGCAATTCTTCCACTGCCAGTGCATGCAGTCCAGCGATCCAAGCATACCGGGAAATCCGCGTTCGGTGTTTTCGGCGACAATACGCTGAACGTCTTGAGCATTTGGTCGACGTTGATACACAGGGCTGAATAGTCGGATTACACCATTGCAGAATCGAAGAAGACATTCGATAGCCGTCGATTCTCCGATGCGTAAGTACTCGTCGTTTTGATCGGCAGTAGTTCCGTAGGCAAGTTGACGTATAGCCGCGGTGCACTTCTGATGAGGGGAGAGTCCAGGTTTACCTGCCGTTCAATGTGATAAAATCTGTCAATCCATAGCCTTAAAAGGGTCATAATCAGATTGGATAAGGCTTACCCAAAGCATCACTACGTTGGGTAAAGTACACATCATCCTCCCCAAGCGCCGTCATGATACGAACAAACAAATTGCGGGGCATTCGGAACCGACGGCGAAATAGACCTTCACCATACACAGGATCAGGTGCGAAATAGTCCTGCATTAGCTGAGCATGACCAACTGGTGCATCTCGACGAAGGTTAGGTCCACGACCGGGGTGGGATCCACCACGAGATTGTGGTTCTTCCAATAACAGAAGGATTGGGAGAAGATCAAAGTTGACAGTTGAAAGTGAAGACACAACTTGAGAGCGTAACGAAGCTCCAACCTGGTATTGAGCTAGGAATTCAACTAATTGTTGATTCATTGTAAGGATTATGACTATGTGAATTGTTCAAGAATTAAAATAAATCTAATAAGATTGATTGAAGGTATAAAAAACAATCGAAGAGGCTGATTGAAGATAAGACAAAGGTATCGCTGAAATGTTTAAACAGGGAAGGCTGGAGACAATTGTATATACGTGTAAATTGAGATAAGAAAACGGACAAGGACAAAGGGCATTGCCTGAACAACGATTGTTTGGTTCTTATATATCCTGGTGGATGCCTGCCATCACACAGCACAAAGCTCACAAGCTCAACAAGATTATGATAACCTCGTGCATACGCCATTATTATATTACTTGGATGACCGATTGCAATTAGGGAAAAAGACGGCCGCCTACCGTGGTCTTTATGAGTGTTTTATGGATCTTTGAACTCGATCAGATGTATGGGAAGGCTAGGCTTATCAAAACCGATCTATGACATCTCAAATAGTCACGATTTGACGAATCAGTCAAGCTCAGACAGGTGTAGAACCTCAAAATAAATACAGTCAAACCGGAAAAGGTTGCCAAAAACAAAGATTTGAAAAGTCCAAGGAGGACGTGCACCACGTCAACAGGTGCTAATCTTGAGTACCGGATAGCTCTGCCGGAAAGGTGCTGGGAACAGCAACGCACCTCGACCCACCTTCTGTATGCATAAGGCTGCTAGTCTGAGAACCCGGTTGGCCTACCCGAAGGATGTTGGGATGGGTGTCGGACGATTCAAGCACCTCCTGCATGCAGAAATGTGTCGAGGAACCGGATGGAAGCCACCGTGACGAAAGAATCATCAGCATCAATGGGGTCATTTGCTCACCTCCATCTGACTTTCTTGCCCTCCACTTCAATCTTTTGAATTTTTTTTGTCGCAAAAATTTTTCTTCAACCCATATTCACTCTTCCAAATCTATCACTTCCAAATCAACCTTTATTTCACCGAAAAATGGCATCCCAAGACTCCCATTTCATCGCCCAAAAGCTGATTAATCAAGCTAAAAATGACTGCCAAGGTCCCTTTTTGGGGTGAGAATGTTTTTTTCCACACTCGTTTGGCACTATTCTGATGCTTGCTGTTGATTTATTACAGACCCATGGATAATCCTAGCAGTCACGGAATGTCTGGCCAAATGGCTTTTGGATCCATAGGCCACCGTGCTCCGCCTTTTATGACTCCTTACAGTTATAGCAGTGCTGTAAAGATGTGAGAATTTTGTATTTCCATATCTTGATTGATAAAATTGCTGATACGATGTGCTGTTCATCTTAGGGGCATGGCCCACCCTGGCGGAAACCGGATCTCCAGCCAGTTGACCGTGCCAAACTTAGGCCACCAAGCTCCGACGGCTTTGGCTCCAAATACTGCAACTGTGATTGTCAACGGGGCTAGCAACCCAAAGACCAATCATGTCGAGCTTGACGATGACAGCAGTATTTGTGTGGATGAACTCGATTGGACGCCTCCTCCTTTTGACGAACTCGATTGGACCCCTCCTTTCCAAGCCTGCTCAGTACGAGTTTTTGAAGCCACCATGCAGTCGGACATCGCTACGGCCAGCCAATCCCATGGCAAGGGAAAGGCGATACATGTTGGTTCGGTCACTTTGAATGAATCTGATGAAGCTCCCATTGAGTCTTCCATCAAAGGTAATTAAGGTAAGATTGTTTCTTGTTACCCATCCTACTTCTACATCGTAACTTACAGAACTCCTTCAAAACAGGTCCGGTGGTGGAAGTCAACATAATGGGATCTTACAACCTGAAGCTCAGTTATTTAATGTACACTGAAAAGGGTGTGAATCCCCTCAAAATCTCGAGTCAAAAGTTGAAAAACAGCATCACAAAATGGATGCCTTATCGAATCGATCCAACCACCAAGATCATCGACATCGACAACAACTCTTTCATTGCCCTGAAAGATATTCTTTTCACTGTGGCCGATACGATTGATACCGATGCTCCGGCGGGTGGTAATAGTGCAATTTTCAAATTGGCTGACGCTAGTGGAACAGTCACCATCAACATTTATATTGATCGACATGAAGTTTTCAGTAGAAGCAAGTGTCGCAAACTTGTTGATGATCAAGATGTGCAAGACTTCTTTGCAGCGGTCCAGGATTGCCCTTTGAGAGAGGCCGGCATGACAATCTCGATGGCTGACCCTGCTAAGTCTGCCAAACTTGCTGACACTGTACGTACTCTTATTTGTTTACACTTGCTTTCCCTGTATACTGAAAGCCTTTCTACTTGTAGAAAATCGCGATGGCTCAAACCCGACTCAAAGCTATGAGCGCAATGAACAATGTCACGGTCACTGCTTCTCAATTGACCGATTTGCTTCCTCTTGACCCACTACAAGTCCAACTTGAAGCTCTAATCAAGAAGTATGGCAGCCTCGACAATCACAGCCAGGAGGGTTGGCGTGTGTATAAACCACACGAAGCATCCAAATACATGCAGATGAACTATGAGCACTTACACAAATGGGCTCAAGAATTGGTAAGCTCACATCAATATCTTTTTTTCATCAATTCTTATACTGATAATGTTTGTATTCAGGCCGAATCTCGTGCTGGAGTTGACTTAGATAACCCACCTATGTATCTTGAAGGCTTCAAATGGACCGATGTCAAACGACCTCTGTCGACTGCCGCTCCACAACACTCAGCCAAAAGAATCAAAGGTTCCGACTCAAACTATTCCCATATGGGCACCCCGGGTGGATACTCTGAGTGCCAGGGTTATCACATTGAGGTCAATCGAGAGGAGCTTGAAGAGTTGAAGAAGTATTGTACATTGGAGGAATTTCTGCTTGACACGGGGATAGCCCCTTTCCTCGTTGACGATCTTTCTGAGCGGTTGGCCAATCACCACATTGATAGTTTTGAACAATTCCTATTCCCAGATTTAATGAACATCCGCAACGTACTGGCTTTAGGAATTTCTTGGGGAATCGCAATGAAGCTCTTTTCTCAAAGCCAATTATTTTATCAACAAATGAAAAAGGAACTGGCCACCTGCAATCGAATCTTTGCTCGCGAGGGCCCCTATAACTTTAAGTCCTCCACCACCACCCCCCATAGCGGGCCAAGCAACTCGACCCCGCGTGCGCGTCAAGCTGGACCAAGTTGTGTTCCTGACACAGCTCCTAAGGCTGGAACTAGTCGTTCCTCTGGTCTTTAACCGATTTCACGAATTGTTTAACGAGGTCTTTCAACAAGATCCACTTTTACATTCAAACTGCCTTTGCTTTATCACATTTTGTGTGTGATTATGTTGTTTTTTCTTTTATCCAAGTTGTGTGCGATCTTCTGTGAGCCGTTCTTGATCTCTACGATTTCTATCGTTGTATAGGCAATATACGTCTTGAAATATACACGTATTTGATTTTGCCAACAAAACCAAAAAGATGCTCTAAATGACTCGATCATTCCTGCGAGAACACCCTACTGAGGTTCATCCGAACCTTATGAATTCATGATCATTTTAGACATCACAGGACTTCTCTCACTAAGTGTCTAATCAGAGGTTAGACATTGGATCACATCGAAGTGATCCACATCTTAATCACTTCCACAGTTGAGAACACTTTGGAATGTCCTTATGAAGGATAGAGACACATAGCGAACCAATCTCTTTGATCGATCAAGTCAGATCAAAGAGATTGGTTCGCTATCATCGATACTTTTTCAAAGATCAAATCTGACTTGATCTCTACACTCGATCATTTTTCAATGACCACCAGTACTTGGGTGTAACTTAGCCTATGTATTCATTGCTTAAAAGAAAACATAGATCAAACAGGAAGTATAGTCTTAAATGATTGAGCCAATTCAGTTCAGGATAAAACAATAAATAATTGAATAACAACATCTTCTTGATTTTGAGTGAACCGTTGAAAAAAGAGAAAAAACGATTGAAACATTGGTTTAACCAGGCCGATTTAATTTTGAGCGGACCAGAAAACATAGGGTACACAAAGGCTTAGACACATTTTAATCATCAAACCTTTCATTGTACTGCTCCCAATAGTAATCAGTGGTGTAACCACTGTTCACCATCAAAGGTTGCATCAGCGTCCTAGTCATCACCCGACCCGCCAACCGAATCAGATAAGTGGCTTTATTGTCAATTAAGTGCCACACCTTCTCCCTTTGAAGTCTTCGTTTCATGGCCGCAAAAGTCTTCTCAATCGGGTTGAGATCGGGAGAATATGCAGGTAGATAAACTAAAAGGATTCCTTTTTCACGACATATTTGTTCTATATCGCCGCCATGGTGAATCTTAGCATTGTCGAGTACCAGAACCGAGTTCGGAGCTGGGTACGCGTTCATTACAGGTAGCTTTCAAGAATAGAGAAAAGGCAGATGAGATCAGTACGATCCAAAATGAGATAAAGGCAGAAAGAACCCACCAAATGACGCTTGAGAAACATCTCAACGTGGATACGTTCGACCAAGCCCTTGACAACAACACCAGCTATCATACCTTGCTCGCCAACAGCCGGTAAGATGGTCCAGTGATCCCCATCGCCGTAGCACTTGGTTTGGACAGTCCTGGTGCCTCTGGGAGCCCACGAGCGTGGACGCATGGCATCTCGCCCCACCACGCCAGACTCATCTAAAAAAATAAATCACACTTGATAAGCCTCCAATTCGCGAGATCGATGTGTATCTGAAGAAAACACTCACCTATGAAAACAAAACATTCAGGTGGTATTCCAGCCACAGTCCTGATGTAATGGGCACGATCACGAATGGATTGTTTGTGATGGACACCCCTGGTGACCAGCAAAGACAGGCCGAGTCGTTCGTGTAGTTCATCACCAATTGTAGTTTTGGAAACCTTGACACCAGTAACTAATTCCAACTGAGCTTGAACCTCATCCAGATACATATCCGGGTTGCTGAGGACAATGTCTCGTAATACAATAAGTTGTTCATCGGATAAGAGGTGTGGTCGGCCACGGATTTCGTAGTCAGCTGGGTCTCGAACAACGTTGTTGGTGGTCTCGTATAGCTCTTTCCACCGGTCAATGGACCGGGGTGAGATGGAGTGATGAAGGGATTGATTAATATCGGCTAAGGAATGGTTCGCAAGGGCCATTTTGGTGGCGACGAGCTTGAGGTCGGCGGAGTACTTGCGAAAACCCATTGAATGATTATGGAAAAAAGGATGGATCAACGAGAAACAAAATTGATGGGTTGAGGGAAAGAAGGTCCACTTCAGGCGAGCGATGGACCCTGTTGATTCTGATGATGTGTATGCTTCCAATAGGTAAGGGTGTGGTTCGTGTGGGATGACACCAACCTTCAAAGTTCCTTGGAAAATTTATGCATGCAGTCGAGGTGAGTAGCCGTTCTTAGCTTCTTCCCGGTAGGGTGACCCGGTACTCAAGATTAGCACCTGTTGACGTGGTGCACGTCCTCCTTGGACTTTTAAAATCTTTGTTTTTGGCAACCTTTTCCGGTTTGACTGTATGCAGCTCGCGCGTTGCTTGTGCTGTAGCTGGAACTGAGATACAGGTGTCCAAGTGTCAATTGTACACACCTGTACTCAGTTTCCGGATCCCGGCGCATTGGGGATGCTCTTAAGTTTGATGGAAACCCGATCAACATCTATGTCATTGAGCCTAGTTGAGCGAAAAATCCGAGAATCTACGTTGCGACTCTCAAATCCTTCTCGATATCAAACGTTTTTATCTCAGATCTCCTCCCTGCACTGAGCCTGTTAAAACTACAACCAACTACCTCCTCAAGATTTTACCTCAAGATGCCATCCGCTAGTCGCAAAGCTCAGCTTGGCCTTGGGCGCGAGATCGTCTCGAAATGTCACGCGGACACCCAACCAGCAAACCAACATCTTGACTTCATTCAGAGGCGTCTCGAAGAACTTGACTCAGAAGGTTTTATTTGGTCAAAGGATTCAATGCTTAGTATCTTTCTTCAACTCGGGCTATCGGAAACCCCACCAAGCTTTTTCTCATCAGTCAATAATATAATCGAATCTCGGGTTTGTCAAGGACTTGAAGTCTCCTCTGATGAAGTTAAAGACATGATACAAAGTGAAGAGTTGCTACATACAGCTCGTCCTCTGGGCCTCATGGACTTACCTACTGAAGTCTTTGACAAGATACTCGAGACACTTGATTGCATAGCTACCCTTGAAGCTCGGGATATTCACGCAGAAAGGTCCAAAGGAATGGTGTCAATCACAGGTCCAGGTGAACAGGAGCCATACAGGACCTACTTGCACCGAAACCCGCCAATATTGAATACTATTCAAACCTTTTCACTTACTTCTCGTAAGATACATCATCTATGTCGACCGTGGTTGTGGCGAGTGAGTCTTCTTCAAATCAACTCGCCATTGAAGCAACGATCTCTAATCAAATTTGAACACTTGTCCCGAATTTCAGAAACTTCGGTTTCCTACTTCTCTTCCAGCGCCAATGGATCTATGGACTGAAGATATTCTCCTTAGACAAGGCTCCTACGTCCAATCTTTATCCATCACACTATCCCCAAACTGCAGTAAACCTCTGGATGAAACTGTACAGCATGATTCCTTCTACGATAATCTTATTCCAGGTGACTACAAAGTAGAAGACGTATCTCCAAAGAATGTAAGGGAATTGATAAATAGATGCCCCAACCTGTCTACACTGGATATCAAATATGATTACCACGAAGCCCCCGAGGACGCGGGTGGAACTGAAACTTTTCTATTAGGCCTAATACCACTACTATCAAGTCTCAAACAACTTCGCCATTTGGCCGTACAAGGTCGATATAAGCAGAAAAACATGAATGCTTTCCCAACAGATGTCGTCGCTAGTCTACCTTTGCTAGAATCGTTTGACTTTGCTGGACTTGCAGCATATGCAGGTCAACCAAAACTTGGTGATGGTTCTTTTGGGCTCAACCTATCAAAACTGAAATTTTTATCCCGACTACATTTATGGTTCATTGATGATATAGATGCAAATTGGTGTCTCTACAGTTGGCCAAGGACAATTACTGAGCTCACAATTCACCAATGTGACAATTTATTGCCGAGTTCAGCAAATCAGATAATTCATCACATTGCACCTTACTTAACGAAGCTCAGGCTTGAATTTGGCAACAAGCAAGGTGATGACAGCTGGGAAACAGATCCCAGCTGGAGTCCTCAAAGTTGTTTTTCTCTTCCATTTTTAATCGACTTGGCGCTTACAACCCGGAATGCGGACTTACTTTATGGATTTCAAGACTGTAAATCTCTAAGTTGTCTTGAATGGAATTACAGGACATCAACACAATTCCGGACTCTGGAAACGATTGTGTCCAAAAATACTTGGCCTCAGCTACGGAAACTGGTTGTAATACCTTATCGTAGTTTTATCTTACCCAGTAATTTAGATCCGCGATATCAAGAAATAAGGTATCAAGTAATTTCGTTGCAAAAATATTGCAAAGTAGCCAATATGACAGTGACCACAGAGCTACCTTACTTGTTTAGCTTCTAGGAAGATAGTTTAAATGTTGTGAGTGAATTCAGTCTTTTTCAAAAAAAAGACTTGACCTTGCCTGATTGAAAATGTATCATATTTGTTCAGGCTGCATCTTGGCCTCCTTTTGCTGCTTTCTTGAGTACCATCAAGACTTATTCAATGAATACGCGCCAGATAAACCTTCACCACCATGATTCCTTATGTATCTCCTAGATACATTGTCTTGTACTATTCACGAAGCTCTGGCACTTTAAACTTTATTCTTTTCAATCTGTAATTACCACAACCTTGATTTGAGAGGGTAAACAACCTATGAAATGTTGCTACCTCAGCCTGTATCTCATTGTTTTCCTGTTTCCTTCTAATGCATCAAACTATATTTCTTGTTGGTGTAACCTCAAGCCAAACTTCAATTGAGCTTTTGAGGTTGATCATGTTTGACCTGAGACTCTGTATCAAAAGAGAACAGAGCCAAATTGGCATCATCAGTCTTCCAGATTTCTGAAAAAGAATGAGTCATTGATTTGAATTGTGCAATGTGATCTGTTGGGAATTCAAGGTGGGTTTTGCTGCACATCCCTCTTGAGATTGGTTGAATCATGTGAATCATATTGATTTTTTTGTATCTCTGCATCAATAATTCAAATTTCTTGCTTCATATGGAAACACCTTTTCTTAATTGATGATATTTCAACTCTTCAACTTTTATCTATTTTTTCATCCCCTCAAATCAGCTATTTACTAAGCATTCACAACATATGTCCAGAAGAATTTTTGCACACAAAATCATCTGCTGACTACTTCAATTGTTTTGTCTCCCCTCTGACAACAATTATATCAGATTTCTATGCTAGCTTCAAGACAGATTTCTTTCCCAGGTCTTGTACTGTGTGATGTCTTGACTCAAACTTCCCTTACCCAAGAGCCTGTGACATTATCAGGGCTAATGTCTTAATAGACTCACCACTTGGTGATCCCAGGAATCAGATCCAATAATTAACATGGATTAGTCCAGGAAGTTTGATTTGAATGATTTGTTGGTTTAAATAATTATGAACATCTTAATAATTGTCTAGTTGGATTTGATTTCATTATAATTTGAATTTTATTTGAATATTCAATCAATACTTTAGATCCTTCATTTAATTTTGATGGTACGCTTATGATTTCTCCTAATGCTGGACTCATTTCAATTGTACCTAAAGCAAATGATTTCCTTCAAATAGATAGAAGGAAATTTTAGATGATTTCACTTTAGATCTTCAGGTTCTTCAAATCAAATCAAAACTTACAATTTTTGATCTTGATCATGATCTAAAGTTGACAAAAACAAAATCAAGAAAAAATGAAACAGATTGAGATTAATTATCTTTATTCAAAGTTAAAGTACAGGTAGAGTTTGATAAAGGATTATTGATATTATCAGTCTGAGGTGAATTAAATTTAAGTTCAGCAAATGATTGCCTTAAAGTTGAAATCAAATTAGACCAATATTTTGTAAATTCTTCTTGAGTTGATTGATTTGATTGAATTACACAAGAACCTATGATGAAGATTGGTTTGTTTGTTTTATCTTGAATTGATGAACTTGATAACTTATGTGGAGTGATTGGTGAGAATGCTGAGATTAGTAAAATAGGTGGTAATTTCTTTTGCATGATTGCTGATGATCTTTGGCCAAAGTTCCCTTGGAGACTCACTACCAGCATCCATCTCCACTTCACTTTATGATTATCAAGATGAGATGATAAGAATCTTGATTTGATGAAAAGTACAAGGGCAAAACTACAAAAGGAGGAAGACAGAAAGTATGAGATCTTCATCATCATCCCCTTAGCCATTCTATTATTTATGCATGAAGACTTTGTCAAAGGGTCATTGATTTTTTTTTATCTGAGCTGTTGTCTCATCAAAATGTTTGAATAACTGAGTCACTGATACAATGTTGCTACTTCAAATACAGAACATGGGCTTGCAGAGGATTGCCATGGGATTTGACTGCGGGTCATATAGCAGATTGATTTCCTAATAATATTTATATCAAACACTTCATGTATTAATTATACCCTATCTCAGACTCCGGTTTTGGTTCAAAGTTATCATGTTCTATTCTGTGCATGGGCCCTTTTATGAGTAGTTGATCATAATACCAGTTTGACAATCTTATTTGATGGGAAATCAAAAGGGGATACAAGTTTCATGTCTCTTGAAGGTTTCAGAGAATCTTAAGGTTCACTATGATCCCCTTGAAATCTTATATCCTTTGATGCTGGAAAGTCTGAGCAATAAAATGAATGAACACCCTTCCAAAACATTACTAGATATCTCAGAGCCAGGCTCTCCCAAATAGACATTGAAAAAGGTTTTGTTATACCAGGAATTCACTCCTTCAAACCCTTTGCTTCCTGAATACATATCTAATTGGAAACTAGGTCCATTGTATGAAATTCTCAAAGTTCAGTCTCAGATCTTGTGGTATCAAATAATATCTAGGCCTCTTCAGAAACCACAATTCCTTCAAAAACCTCAAATCACAAAATGTACTTCAATAACATCAGAAATAGAGGCACCAGTGGCGTAGGAATCAAATATTCACTTACAATTTTTATCTTCTCAACAGTCAAAATGATTTGGTCACTGGAGCCACCAGTGCAGAGGGGTCCAATTCAAGAACTCAACAGCATCAATCAATTGGAAACATCATTCTCTCCTCTGGCAAATGATCATAAAACAATTGCTTCAAGTTCATTTCTCAATCCAGAGGGTTGGAAGCAAATAAACCATCTGCATTCTGGAATTAGTGAAATTGATCAACTTTCAAGGGACACATTACCTGAAAGTAACAAGATGGGGAGCATTGTAGGAAACATTGGATCACAGGAAACAAGGTCCCTTGGTCTACCTGATCATTTTGATAGTATGTCTTGGTCACAACTTTTGCAAGAATCAGTCATTAACATTGATTCAAGGGGAAAATCAATCTTTGAGCATAGCCATGGCCTCATCCCCCCCACAGGTAGCTTCACTGAAGGCTATACTCAAAATCTCAAGGATGAAAACATGAGCCATGTGCCAATTAAAATCCCACATCAAATATATATGAACAGATTAGAAGAAGGCCATATTAGTAGTGATAGCCCAAATCATATTATGGAATGTTTGGCCAATCACAATCAGCTAAGCTCAGAAACAAGATTTACCAATAGTGTGCCAGAAAGTTCATATCAAAACATAGTACTGAGGAATGAATTGGACACTGGACCACCTGGGTGCTATGGAGATTGTGGATATCAAACCAATGAATATAAAGAGATGTGTCATTCTCCCGTTTGGATCCCAAATCAAGATAAAAGACCCTTTAGATACATAGCAGATGAAAACCATGCCAGTGGTGTTACAATCAATTCTTGTACAAGTGAATTGATCAATACTTATAACCTATTTTCACATGATAAAATACCTCTTGATGGGAAAATACACTATGATCAGCAAGTAGGAACAAAACACAAAGCAGATACTATCCTTGAGAATCTGGGACAGTATGTAGATCACATCAATTTACCTACTTCATTTCAGATTCAGGGGTTACACAACAGAGAAACACACAATGATATAACACATTACAAAAAAAGCCCCAACCATCTTTCAGGGTCATTTAACCAGTGTACCTACCAAGCATACCATTCTGATTTTCCTCATACCAATCCACAAAGACATGAGAGGGTTATTGCAGGTTTTGGATCTGAAATGCCCAATGTAACACCAAACTACTCATTATCTTCTCCATCACATCACCTACCAACACTTGTGGCCAGCACCAGTAGTCCTTCAGAATGTGAACATGGTCAATTTGGAAAGGCAATGTCCAATCCATTCTGTGAAAATTTCAATTTGCCTCCTAACTGGCCTCAAGTAGAAGAGAATCAAATCAGCAGAAATCCACTTGGAAAAGAGGGTGCATTTCCAATTGAAAAGCAACCGCATGGGCCAGATTACAATGTTGTAGATAAAAATCTTGAGCAACAGGACCCTATGTCTCCCACAACATCCCAAAACTACCCATTTTTGAAAAGAAAGGCATCACAAGTTTTCACATCAAGTCTTAATGAGGCAAAGAAAAATCCCAGGAAAGACCAAGATTATGACAAGAGTAAGAGTTTGGAATTCATAATCATGCGCCTTCTTGAGCAGAATCACAGTAGATCAATGAGAAGTGAAGGAGTGACTCGCAGGGATATAGTTCAAACAATTCAACATGTTGGAATTCAAAAACTCCAGTTGTATCAGAAATTAGATCTCCAGCACCAAAAATGGTTCAACGGATGGAAAAGAAAACTTTTAGATTTGATCTTTCCCTCAAGCTATCCAAGAGATACAAGTTCTGTAAATGAAACAGGTTGGACAAGTTTAATTCATAAGGTGGAATTTGGAGTTGTGATGGGATTCCTTGGAGTTTTGAATTTTATTGAGTCCCATATAACTGAGAAGCCGGTGATGTTAAAAGTATTTGAGGATGGTTTGAAATTTATTGAACAATATCTGGACAAGGTATATTTATTGGCCACTCAGAATTTAGCAAGATTGACAAGCAAATTTGTCCCACTCATTAACATCTCCTCTGACCCTTTGGAAGTCATTCTTTCCCTACTTGCATTTACACATAGAAGAGATTTAAGATTTGAAGTTTATCACAATATCTGGTCAAATTGGAAGAATGAAAAGTACCCTTCTGTTCAAGATGTTTCATTTCTGGAGTTCACAAAGCTCATATGTGGAATCACTTTGCCACATGTCAAATTACATGATAAAACAGCTTGTAATTCAAAAGTGGATCAATCTCGCTTGCAGGTTCCACAAAGTTCACAGGATTATTCATATAGAAAAAGAATTGTGGAAAAAGGAAAACAATGTATGATTAACTTTGAAAGTATTTTTCATAACAAGGATTCATATTTTCAAATGCTGAAAGATGACATGTTGGATAAATTCAACCGTGAGCAAGACAATCTGAGTGATTATGAATCAATGCATCACAAGAAACTTGTGATCAATGCAATGAAGGTTGTGAAGCTAAGTGTAGTGGATGGGTTCTTTGGAATAATCAAATGCCTACATGAAAAACATGACTCACATTGGAATCTTGAGATCATTCTGAGGACTGGTTGGGAGTTTTTTCAACATCATTTCTCTTTGTGGAAGACAATCAATCTAGACAATCTATTCAACAAAAAAGGCCTGTCCAATGTAAAGACACAGCAAAAACTGAACAAAGAGTTGAGATTCTCTGCTGAATCATTCTATTCTGTGATGAGGTCAAGCTACACACAGAAAATTTCTGTAAGATTTGTTCTTCAATTGCTAAGAGATTGGGCACATTCACTACCTATGGATCAGAAGGATTTCAAAGGGTTCCAGATGCTGTTGAAATCTCATGATAAGACTTCTTTTACAATGTGGTTTTGATGGGAGTTCACCTTCACATTTTGCATTTCAAGAGGGAATTTTGCAACTTGCTCTTGTAACAAAAATACAACAGGAGGTAACAATCCAAACCATTTGTATGAGGTCACAAGGGCACAGGTCTGGTATACATCTGTCATTTTCTTTTTTCTACATATAATTTTCCTTCATCACAGATCTTTGGAATTATCAATGCTATAAATGTAAATAGTGTGTCAAAGTGTTGCTAAAACAATGGGGCTCTTAGGGTGAGACCAATGGTAAAATGGTCAATGCCCTTGATCACTGGTCAACTCCAGTGAGAAATCTAGCAAATCCCAGTGAAATTAGGTTCCATGTGCTATAAAATCCTAGAGGCAATTATAGACTGAGGCCTGTTACATTGCTCTCAGCAAGTCTTTCAGTTGTTCCTGGGATCCTGTGCCCTCAATTCATGTTTGACCACTTGAGATTGCAGGTATACAACTTGATCTTAGACCCATAAGACCTTGAGTGTGGCTTGGAGGAGCCTAAGTAATAGCAGGGAGGATTTGTCAAGCTGGGTCCACTTACCTTCAAGGTTGTCACCTTTTTAACCTGATTGAGGCATGATCAGACTCTAATGGTAGGGGCTCCTTGGCCTCAGGACAAGGGAGTGGTTTTAAAATGAACTCTTGAGAAACTTTGTACAGAAAAGAGGTAGAACAGAAGTGCACCTTCAAAGGAGCTCCAGGGAGTTAGTGGAAGTGAGGACAAAGGATGGATGAAGGAAGAGAGGGGAGAGATGATATATTTCATGAAATTCTAAAAGCTAGAAGATCACAATGATAGTAGTGATGAATTTGTAAAGAGAAACTTTACAATCAAATAACAGAGAACCACATCATTACCTGATTTTGGATTAATATTATTAAATATATATATATATATATAAACTTGATATTTCTCTTTTGTTCTGTTTTGTTGGTCATAGTTTTAATATAGTCACTGTGTTTATTCATCTTGATTTCTTTCTTAATTCAAGTTAAAAGTTCAATCCTGATTGACTTTACTTTACTTTACTTATTTCTCCCATGAAAATATATACTCAAAAACAAGTTATAACCCCCCCAAAAAACCAAACAGTTTCTCCCCTTCTTACTTATTCTTTTTCATTAAGACCAATGAACCAAAGAAGTAAAAACAAAAAGCCGGTTCAATAAAAGAAACCAAAAATTTACAAATCAAAGAAACATCTTCAAGTTATGAAAAAAAGCACAAGAAAAAAGACCTCATAATACCAACATTTTAATAACCTTCAATTCCAATTTCAAGAAAAAAACTTATTTTATGAAAAGGGGTTTGATTGGATAGACAAATCAAGTTGGTATGATTGGATCAAATTAAACCTTTAGCTACAGTTAATTCAGCGTTCATTATACTACTTGTAGCCGCTCCAATACTAACATTGTTAGTTAAAATAATAAATTTAATATCTAAAACTTCACACTATTTCCACCAAAAAAAAGCCCAAACAAAATAAGAAAACCTCTTCAGTCAACCAAACCCACAAACCGCGTAAAGACACCTAAAAAGAAGCAAGAAATCTTACTTTTCTAATTCGACCGATATTAATTCCAGATCCGTTTTGAAAATACCTATCAAGTCTAGGTTGAGGACGATCGATTTGATGATGAACAAAGATTGGAAACTGAGGAGCCGAAAAACACTGAAGTGAATTAGCATCAGTTCGATAAGATTTAAGGACCTGTTGAATTTCATCAATCGAAGGGATCGGTTTATTCTTAAATGAAACTGATACATCTGAAAGATGACCATCCAAGACCGGCACTCTTGTAGTCGTCACACTAATATCGATCCGATTAGTTTTCGTATGATTACAAGAAGTTTGAAGTTCATTTGATCTTAGAATGATTTCAGTTTGATCAGTTGATAAGTTTCCTAAGATCTTTTGGGTTTCCCATTGGATCTTTTCTTCTTCTCCTTCAATATAAGGTATCACATTATCAAGTATATCTAAAGAAGATACACCAGGATATCCTCCACCTGAAATAGCTTGAAAAGTCGTCATTCTGACTTTCTCAATCGGTCCAAATGATGATTCTAAGGCTTTTAAAACAACCACTAATCCTGTGGTAGAACAATTCGCATTGGTCACTATGAATCCTTTGGTGATCGGATAGCTTGGTGAAGTGAGTTGTGATCTTTGGTATGGGATTTGGTGTAGATGGTCTGGATTCACTAAAGGAACAACTAAGGGACACAACCCATCTCTTCTAAAACTTTTCGAATTCGAAAACACTGGAAAATCTTTCAATCTAAACTTTGTTTCTAAAGTTTCAATCAAAACAAATCCCAAATCAGTTGAAGAACAAATCGGATTTGAGAGATTTACTGACCGATTTCTTCTGATACATCAGAATCTAATCCACTAAAGATAATCTCACATCCATCAAACTCCTTTGGATCACATTCAGAAACCACTAAATCTTGAAAGTCTTGAGGAATAGGTACAGTTTGTTTCCATTTAACGATTGATTGATATGTTTGATTGGATGATCTTTTGGATGCTCCGATTTTGATTAATTTAAAGTTGGGATGATTTGATAATAAGATTAAAAACCTTTGTCCTACTGTACCTATTAAGATGTTCCGGAGTGATTAGTTTTTGTTCATGGTTCATGGTGATGAATGTGATGATTTACCTGTTGCTCCCAGTACACCTACGTTGATAATTCGTTTTGAATCGGTGGTCATTTTGTTATTTTTGATAAATTGATAAAATGGATGTTGAGTTAATTTCCTGAAACTAAGAAAATGTTGCAAACCAACCGAAACGGAAAGGAAAGTGTAAAATGTGTATGTAAAGTAAAAATATGTTTGTATCTAATGAAAAGTATGTTTATAAACAGTTCTTCAAATCACTTGGACATTTCTGGAATCGATTCAAATCCAACTTCCATCCTAGACTATCTTCAAAAATGACACTCTTATCAAACTTACTCCATAAAAGAACCCAACCACTTCAACTCTTTAAACTCCTTCAAACCCAGCATCCAAACCCACGTAAATACCTCAACCCCTTCAAATTTAATCAAACCTAATCTCAAAAAACCCAATCAGAACCAAACCCGACCACAACTAACCAAACAAAATGATTTTGTTTTCTTAGTATCATTTCTACAAATCAGAACAGCAACAAAAAGAGCAGGAGGTTCAACAAAAAACAACAGATCTTCAGCCGGAAGAAGACTAGGTGTCAAAATCTTTGGTGGTAAAACTCTTCATCCCTCCTCCTCACCACCTTCTTCTCAACCAAAAAAAACCCAAAAAAAAGTTGAAATCTAATCTTTTTGGTAATTTGGAATTTCATAGGTCAATATGTAAACCAAGGAGAAATCATTATACGTCAAAGAGGTCAAAGATTTCATCCAGGTGAAAATGTTTGTATAAGTAAAGATCATAGTTTACATGCCCAACGATCAGGATACGTTAAGTTTTATGAAGACCCTCGAGGGGATTCCATTGGGTATAGAGCTTTAAGTTTAAGACATCAAGCTCAACGAAAGTTTGTGGGTGTAGTACAAGATCGTGATCAGTTGAGTTTTCAAACCTTTAGTCCCGTGTTTCTTTTAGAAAGATTGATTTTTTTTCTTCTGGTAATAGAACGCTTCCTAGAGATTTGAAAAGTGAAGGTAGGGCTAGACATTTTGGGTTGGTGGATTTGAATTCACATTTCAAACAAATCGAATTAGATAGTGCAAATAACTTTAAGATTTCGAAATCCGATTTAATTTTAAAACAAACCGTTTGAAGAAATAAACTAATTTAGGAAGATCTGATTTGATGGATACCAGTTGTACAAGATGGAGAGAAAATAGAGAAAAAGATACATTGATTTATGAAGATAAGATAAAAAGGAATCTTCAAGAAACTAAATTTGATTGTCCAACTTACAAAACCAAACTCGTAATAAAATCATCATCATATGTATTCCCAAAACTCTTACAGAAAAAAGTCAATCAATTCAAAGTACATACCAAGCCAAAAAAAACAGATACCCAAGAGAAAGAAAACCAAACCAAAAGAAAAAGGTAATAAGATGATCAGATTGATTTATTCATTCATTCATAAGCCTCTTCACACCATCTTTGCCATTTCAAGATCAATTTCTTAATAAACCGATCATAACTTCCTTGATCAAAAACAAACAATTCCAAATGAACATGACCACAATCGCCACACTTTCCATTCTCCAACTGAGACATCTGATTCGATAACCGATTCCTTTGACTAGATTGTAAATCCGACCAAGCATTAAGTTCCATCAAACAAAGTCTTTCCCAACGATGATGAAAGCTAAGTCCGATCGGTTTAACTTTCTCAAACCCAGGTTGATAAGAATTAATGGCTTCTTGACGATGATCAAGTAAGGGAAAGACGTCTCTTAGGATAGGTTGTTTAGATGGACATTGGGTTTTCCATTGAGTTAATCTTCGAATAGGTTGGATCGATCTTCCTACTTTGATCAGAGTGGTAGGGTAGGATGTTGATGAACTTCGAGTCGGGATCATCTCGTGACAGTATAGGTATCCTTTTTGGGCTCGGTCTTGAGCACTGATCGGTTTGATCATTTCGTTTCTTAAGATCATTTTCGTTTGGTTGGGTAATTCATCTGACATCCAATCTAATTTAAGATTCCAAAATGATCAGTGTTTGTTTGTTTGTTTAAATGAAAGGACAAATTAACTTGCCTTCAAATCGGATCCATTTCCCATTGAAAAGAAATGTACCGAGTTGGTTTAGATTCAGTTTATAATGTTGAAAACAAAACTTAGGTAAACTGATCGGATCTTGATCTTGATTTGATTCTAATAAGCTTTCTAATTGATTCAAAGCTTGATGAGTCAAAGTAGTAGAGCTCATAGGAGATGATGTCGAAGTAGTTGATGGTTTAGATGGAGTGCTGGGTTGTTTCATAGGTTTACGTGAACATGGTTTTCCTTCTCTTGTTGTTCCTTGACATCTTTCATTTGGATCTGGATCTGATGGACTGTTTGGGATGGGTGTTCGATTGGGTTTTGGGGTTCGATTGGGTGTTGAGTTTGGTGTGAGATTGATGGTTTCTGTTGGATTAGGTTTCTGTTTGGTTGGAGTTTCTTGATTTGGTTTTGAGTTTGAGTTTCCTGTTTGATATGGATTGCTTGGCTTGGTGATCGATATCGGTGGCTTTGTTATCGGTGTAACTGGCTTTGTGATTGGTGTAACTGGCTTTGTGATTGGTGTGACTGGCTTTGTGATTGGTGTGACTGGCTTTGTGATTGGTGCGTTTGGCTTTGTGATAGATTGATTTGGTTTGATTAGAATTGGTCTTTTTTCATGAGAATGATGATGATGATGATGATGATGATTTGATGAATTCCAAGTTTTTGATTTTGGTTTTCTTCTTTGATGATTATCTAAATTGTTTGTTGTTGTTGTATTATTTGTAGTGAATAGTTTTAATTTATTTTTAAAATGTTCTATAAATGATCCAAAGCTGATTTCTGATTTGATTTGTTCTTCTTGTTTTTCTTTTTGATTTGATAATGATTTGATGTGTTGATTCTGATGAGTGTTTTCCATGGATTCTACCTATCTATCTATATAGAACAGTCAAGAAGTGAAAAGTAAACAGTGAAAGGTAAAACAGTGAACAGTGAAAAAGTGAATAGTGAAAGAGATGAAAGAGATGAAGTGGTCTGCTGTGAAGTCAATCAACTCTATTTGAAGGTCAGCTTAAGCACAGCCTTAGTAAATCACAATTTAGACCTTCTCATCTAAATTTCAAATTCAAAACTTTTAAGTATCTTGTACCTAACAAAGGCTATCGTTCTGTTTCCCTCTCAAGCTCCATGTATTCAGCTTCATGACCCCTTGATGTGAAAAGGCCTTTGAGCAATGATACTGAACAAGTCTTGAACAACTCATCGATCTCCTCGTTTCCTTTCGTTCTTGGCATCATACATTCTTCAACTTGGTGATCATTCATCAGATTCCTTCTCATTTACTTTGTCATTGATGTACTCAGCAGTCAAGCAATGCTTTCGGGCGATCCAAATCTCAAAAGGAAAACTATCCCTTTATCGTACAAACCAACTTCTCTAGAGCTGACTTCAGTTGAGTGATTTAGGTGATCGGTTCAAGCCATCAAGATCTCTACTTTTCTCTGAACCAGAATCGATGCAAATATGGTTAAAAAAAATTAAGTTTCATCACTCGTAGTTCCCATATCACCTTGCCTCATCAGAGCATTTCTTTTGACCAGTTAAAAGATCCATTCCTTTCTGATCTTTCATTCAGTATCTGTGTCTTTTTCATCTTCATGGGATCTTGTGTTTTTTTGATAAGGTAAAGTATCTAACTAGCTGATCAAGATGGTCATAAAAACAACTAATCAGACTTTTTCAATAAAGCTCACCAGACCCAAGATCATCAAACATCAAATTATGGTAAAGTGTCTAGTTACTACATGTTTACTTATCAAAAATAAAAAAATGATTCTTAAAAAGAAGATGACTTTGTTATTTTAGGTAACTGATTGGAATATCAGAATGACAAGTACACTTGTAAAACAAAATGTGTCATCAACAGTTTGGGTTTTCATGATCCCTAAAAGTGGTAAATAACAAGCATCCTAGGTTTACCATTTTCTCACTTAATTCTACCATTTTTTTGGCTGGACATACAGCTTATTTCTTGATATACTCAAATCAGATCAAATAAAATTTAATCATTAGTTTATTCCACTAAATTTTTCAAAGCTAACTTATCATATGGCCTGGTAGTAGTGGTCTTTCAAAAAACATTAAAGAATAGTATATACTTGTGTAAGGTATGAAGAAATTTCTGATATAGTAGAGGTTTTGATTTTTGATTTTGGCTCTCAGTATATACTTGAATTTTTCTCGCCATGAGAAGGAAACCCCTTGACCAATCCATTCACAGTGGTTATTAGGGTAAGTGCTTATGCTTCAGGCGCCAGCTGATGCGTTCGATCTCAGAGGATCCACCCAATCATATGGATTGAATGCTTTTGAATAAAGCTATGGCGTGGGTAGCAGGCTCTTTGCTGCCTATCCCAAAACAAAACATGGAGCTTTGCAATTGAACAGGTTTTTCCAACACTCAAATTCTAGCTGGATTATCTCCTCTTGACTTTTGATACTCTATGCTTCCTTCAAGTGTGTAAATCTATTTTTCACGTCTTCAAAATTGACCCAAATATTCAATAATGATCATCTTCCAAAATTCTTGGATAAGCAAACATTTGAAAACTGAAGGGATTGATCGAAGTCATTGTAAGAGGGTACCTCATCAGAAGATTCGTTTTTTAAGAAACAGTACACAACCTTGCATTCAATGACAAATCTCACAAGAAATTCAACACCAGGTGATTGAATGTCAGAATCATCAAAATTATATCTCAAGATCAAATCCTTTAGAATTCTTTTCCATCTTATCATTCTTTTTCTGTTCTCCATCTAAACATCCAAATTTTCAAGCACTTGTAAACATGAGATCTTTCCTTTGGAAAATTGGTCTACATCTTCAAGCCATTTGGTCAAGATGATGGCTATGAACAAAATCGTGAATGGTTCAACCTCAAAGGTATAAGAAGGAATTGCTCGTCAACAAGAATCAAAAAATACATACCCATGAAGGTTTCAAGGGAGATCAGAGTTCCACAGTGATGGCTAACCGTGCAAACTACAGACTCAGTTGAAGAGGGACTGGTTGCAGGACCCTCAATTGATGACTTGAAGGTTGTTGGGTTTCTATCATTGTTTGGTCAGCATATATCTTTTGTTCATCTTGCACTTGATAACTGTCCACATGGGGCTGCAGGCAACAGATTAAAATTGAATCAGTTCTTGATGGGATTGAGGAAATCACTGAGTGTCATCAGCTAACTTGAAACAAGAAGCCAACCCAAAGCTGATCTGAGCAGCCCCAGCTGGTGCAGAGGCACACTGACAAGATCAATGAAGTTCCATTGAGTGGTATCTCTTATATAAAACTGATGTGAGGGGATGAAGGATGTCATTTCAACAATAAAGCTTGCATTCCAAAGCGCTGATTGTGCACGCAACACTGTCTAAACCCTGGGTTGGCCAAACAGGGCTTTCTCAATCTCAATTTCAATGGCACATGGAATTTAACTCAGATTAAGTTTAGTGCTGGCATTACTGTTACGTAGATATCCGCCATTGATATTTTGAGCTTCATCAACTCTCTTTCTAAAAGAAAGATAACATACCCTTGGATCAATCATACTTTTACGCCTTTGGTGGAATTCAAGAGTACATATAAGACTACCCACTTCTCTTGACCGTACCAATATGCCTAGTTTTATGACAACTATTGGCTTCATCATGAATCTTAGCTGATAATGATTAAAAGAAGCCATACACATTATGCAGAGTTGAGTTCAACCTCTGGGGTCTACTCAAATTTATTTGTTCATCATGCTTTCAAATGATTTCACTCTACCATGATTGAAATCTGAATCAATATTCGGGGTCTGAGTTATGAGGATGTTGTGGGATTGGAGAATCAGGATCACTAAGTGATCCCTTAGGCGCATTACACTTACAGATGTTTCTACTCAAATGCACATATCAGGATATGTTTCTCTTATATCATCATTCCATGTAATTGAGTTCTCTAGAATCATATATAGATTAGATCAATCATCATGTTGTTCTTTCTCTCTATCAAATTCAACCTTCTATTGTGTTACAATCTACTTTTACAGATTGTTGTTTCTCTTTTGATCACTAGAGTCTTCCTCCGTAAGACTGAGCGTGATCTCAAACCTTTACAGGGAAAGTGAAACCTACAATATTGTAAGATCTTTAGTCCAACATTTTTTTGTGGTAAAACAGAAAAATTAGTGGATGAAATACTTCTATCTATTATCATGAGATAAAAATTATGTGATTTATTTTAGAAAAACTAAAAAAGCAATTTGGTAAAAATATAGTCATGACACACCAGCACAGTAATAATATTATTCATCTGATATCAATGTTAAGCATTGGACCTTTTTTTGTTATCCTTCACCTCCGATTGGCGGAGAAAAGGTTGGCTCAAACCAAAATTTCATTAGATTCTTGAAGCAAACCTTACCTTCTCTTTCTTGAGCAATACCCCCTTCACAGTAGCCAAATGTATAGGTGTCTAACACAACTAGCAAACATTGTTGAATGTCTGAAGATCACAAATTGCTATCAGCAAGATTGAATATATAAAGCATCTTCAATTATCCTCAATCCAATCAGATATTCCCCGTGACCTTATTCAGTAGATAAGAAAGGAAGCTACTACCGAGTCCTCTTGGCTCAACGTTCCATCTAGCCCTTTTCTCGAGGCAGATCTTTGCCTTGACTTTGGTGTCTGAATCCAAATCCATGTCCCTGAATATCTTTTTCCATTTCACTATTCCAACTTCAAGATCGCGGGGGGTCAATCTTCTGAAGTGTGTTAAACCTAATTGCTTTCCAACCCTGTCGGCCACTTCAGCCATCTGGCCTAAATGAACACCTTCATCGTTCCACATCAAAAAATCACCAAGGCTCCACCATGGACTGACAGGTGGTCGACCTAGTCCACGAAGAATTGCAGAATCTCCTAGGAGTTCGAAGTCTGAGCTCAGGATTAGACTCTTCATTCTGGCTTGGTATGTGGACCAAAGGGTAGGGTGTTGGTGAAACCACTCTCTTTCAGGAGATTCTCCCCATGATTTTGCACGGATTGGATACACTTCTGGGTAATTTTTTCGGGTGAGCATCTTTCCATACATGTGGATTAATGTAATTCTAGGTCCGAAAGGTTCAAACCCGTCCTCGTGAGGCATTCCAAAATGTAACAAGTCGCCAATTAGAAGTAAGTCAAGTACATTGAGACCTTGCCATCTTGCATCTTGTAGTTCATCTTCGCTCCACCATCTGCCCACAGAGTCTCGTTGTCGCATGTAGTTTATCAAATCTACCCGCTTCTTAAATTCTGACACTCCCAGAACCTCAGTCAAGACTTCTTTCTCCGATTCCGATAATGTTGTTACACCCAAACTTAGTTGAACCTTGAGGTCATCGGATTTATGGATGTGAGAGAGGGCTGGACAGAGTTCTTCAATTCGAAAAAGATTGTTCCATCTATTGATCGTGACTGAATCAAGGCGTGGCTTTACCTTTGTGTATCGCGCCCTGATGTCATAATGTTTTAGTTGATGAAGTAAATTGCATCCTCCGCTGATGTTCTTTTTCTGAGGCTTTTGAATGCATTTGGGTCCAGATCTGAATATCTTTCCAATCAGTGTGGTCGCTGGTCCTGATGGTCTCGTAATCCTTTTGCTGGAGATTTAGTCGTAGGAAATCACGATCGTCGTCGACCTGGAGACTTCTAGTTATTGCCTCCAGGGCAGGGTTGTCTGATAGTTCTTTGAAATTCTCGGCTGTGTTGACATCCGCAGAGGTTGCACTCGCAGGCAAGGAAACTTTCTTTTTTCTCTTTCTTCGACTAGGATGTGTCTGGACACGTGTGGAAGTCGGGAGCGCGCTCGAACTTTCACTGTCCAAAATTGCACCTGTGGAGTCGTGAACTTTTTCATGTTGGGATTCTTCAATGTATTTAATTTCTTCCGTAGACATTTTAACTCCGTTGGGATCAGGCTCATATTTACCCATCCACTTTAGAGGATTAAGAGATTTGAGTAATCCAAGAAATTGGGAGGTGGATGAGGGAAGGAAGGGTAGATTGCCAGATGGGGTATTTGCTCGCAAGTGAGAAATCATCGGAGCTACATTCGACCAGAAATTCTGTCCTGCTGTAGTCGAGTCGATTGAGGTAGATGTTTGGGGATCGATTTTGACATCTTTGCCCTTGGCCACTGTGCTAGCACGAGTCTTGGAAGGTTTAGACTTGGGCGCAACCTTTTTGTTCTGATTCAAAAGATTTGGATCTGCGAAGTCCAGGTCTTCTAACAAAGCTTTAGATGCTTTCTTTTGACTCTTGAAATCGTCTTCCGGTAATTCTAGCTTGGACAACCTGGAGGAAAGGAAGACCATCATCATTGAGTAACTCATTCCTGACTTGTCAAGTTGTCAGTGGGTTGCGTTACTTACATGTTCACCCGACGCTGCGGAATTCTGTCATTGTCTGGATTGGAAGTACCAGATTTCAACTTTTCTAGATTACTGACGCCACTTTCAAGGAGTGAATCTGCCCCAGAATGCCCAGGGCGACTTGAAGAGTCCAGGGAAGTTTTGAGTGACGAGTACAAAGGAGCTTGAGATATGGAACTTTGCCCTCTTGAATCCTCAAGCCTCGGAGACCGCTCTAATTGGGCCCTCTTGAATGTGGCTTCCATATCAGCTCTTTTATCTTCATTTGTTGTGATAACACTCCGTACAGATTCCAATTTTTTTGGTCTTTTCTTGAATTCTCGAACAACCGGAGTAGCTGGAGTCAATGACTTTGCGGGAGTCTTCAGTTTGTCGGGGTTCCTTGCGTTAGTCACGGAATTTGAAGATGAAGGTGCCTCTGCCGAAATTTTCTTGCCCTCGGAACTCGAAAAAGATGGGCTTAGATGTTTGTACAAGGAAAGTGGTGCGGTGACACGATTATCCGAATCGATGTTATCTTTCAGAGCCGGGAATAGTTTCAAGTCCTTCACATCCAAGAAAGGCGCATTTTCAAGTACAGGGGGTTGGTCTTGGAGCTCTGAAGAAGTGGCTTGAGTCGCTCTTGGATCCCTTTCAGATTCTGCATCTTCTCTGCGGGAAGATGCCCTGCTGGACACTAGATCATGTGACAACTGGTCCTCATGAAGTCCTGTCGTGTGTTCCTCTAGGCTTTCCTTGCCAGCTGGAGATACATGCGGCTTAGGACCTGTATTATCTTCCGGACCCGCGAAGAGCGTCGGGGTTTTCACATCCAAGACAGGTGTGTGTTCATTTACAGAGGGTCGGTCTTGAAGCTTTGACGAAGAGGTTTGAGCTTCCTCCGGCTCCCTGTTAACCTCTGGATCTGATCTATGAAAGGATGCCTCGCTAGAAATAGAATGTGGCGACAACTGATCCGCATGAGGGCTGATGGTCGGTTCTTCCAGGCCTTGGCTGTGAGCTGCAGCAAGGTGCCAAGAAGTGGTAGGGTTATTGGCTCGCGGAGAATCTATATTGACCCGATGCTGTCCAATGAGTATTTCCTTCGCTGATGACCGCTCTGTCTCTCCAGATCGGGCTCGCGAAAAACTGTGGTTTGGAGCCCTGTCAGTAAGCGTGTGGGAAGAGACCGCCTCTTCAACATTTTCAAAATCACGTACAGATCTGACTTTTCTCGCTCTTTCATCCACTTTAGGTGCTTCCAGGATACCTTGCGACTAGTCTTCTGCTTTGATCCTTCGATCGGGGTTGACTCCAACAATTTCTTGGCCTTGTTTGACTTTCTCCTTAAATACTTCTGCTGAGATAAGGTTAGTGAAGTCTTAGGCTTTGAACTACTCGGTGGAGGCATTGAGGATTCTGATATCTCATTTAAGAACTCCAATTTTTTCCTGAGCTTTTTCAGCTTTTTCTTCAACTTTTTCTTCTGGATTGAGGTTGGTAAAATTTCAAACTTTGAACTGCTTGACGCCGGCATTGAGGATTCCGGTGAGTCATTTGGAAACACATCTTTTTGCCTAGTTTTCATGCGGAAATCATCATCAAATCTCTGGAGTTCTGTGTGAAAAAATCCAGTACCCTTTGTTCTTCGCATAGCAGAATCAGAGGTCGGGCGAAAGGAAGGCGCTTCCGGGTTTAACGTATGATGAGACAAGGATGACGTGAAAGGTGAGTCATGGAAGATGTTTGTGTAAGTGTTCTCAATGCGCGGGTTGGAATGACCAAAGGGAGAAATTTGGGGTGCGGGAAACGTGTGTATAGGATGGATAGCTCCACTGCTTGTCCCTGGACGATGGAGCATGTACGGGTAAGGCGAATGTGGATAAGGCGAACGCGGGTACGGTGAGATGTGCGGATAAGGTGGATTGTACGGATAAGGTGAGATGCGAGCGTAAGGTGGGATGTGAGGGTGAGCTGGAATGTCCGAGTGAGGTGGGTTGTGAGGGTGAGGTGGGTTCTGAGGGTGAGTTGGGTTGTGCGAGTAAGGTGAGACAAATGTGGACGGCACGTCAGGTATGTGATGAAAGCTATCAACATGATGAGGAGAATTCAGCTGGGGTGGGAGATGCAAATGACGGGACCAGTCTTCAATTATCGGAGGTTCAAAAACATGATGCCACGGAATTATGTGATTTGGCGGTATCACAGGAGACGAGGCCGGATGAAAGGTAGCCGATATGTCATTTGGGGTGCTTGGATTTAGCACTGGCGCAGGCAGCTGATATATTGGGAGGAGAGTCTCTGGCTCTGGATGTGGGAGTAGTTGTAGGACCGGACGCCCAACTTGATAGATCGGGAGAAGCGTGTATGGTTCTGAATGTGATGGCATTGGTGTGTGTTTTCCATCCGACGGTGATTCATTGATATCTGAGGTTTGATGCGGAACGAGCGATGACGTCTCTTCGGCACTGGTATATGCAGACAACGGATCGGAACTGTCAGGCAAGGAAGTAAGCAAATGCTCTGACGCAGAAACCAATTCGGGTTCGTTTGATAGCGCCGTCAAGACATTTCCATAAATGCTTGCAGTCACAAGCATCCAGATCGGCGCGCTCCTCATGTTTGTAGGAAATTCTGCAAGTGAAAAAGCATGACGCGCGGTTAACTACCAAGAACGTGGATCCAATATATGAAAATCAAACCTGACGCTCACCTGTGATCCTGCAAGACTTTAACTCAAGTAAATCGAATGTACTATCCTCGGAGGCAGCTTACGAGTCCTCCTTTGAAGGAAAACACTCAGAAGCGTGCTCGCCCTTTTCCGTGGACAGAACTGGATAAACATTCCATAGACAGCATGCAACTTGTCTTCGCTGAAAAGCCTCTGGTCTCGTACCATCTCCAGGCTAAGTACTTGTTTCACGGTCTAATTTCGCAAATAGTGATCCCGCGTGTCAATGGTGAAACTTGTTGATTTTTTTTGGCTACGGTCATTTCTTTACATGCCATTTAGTCCCGCGTGTCTGCTTATGATCCCAGAGACAATCACCTCATTTCGCAGTCTAGATACCTTACCTAACAGGTCATATATCTTGACTGGCGGAGTTTGCAATTTTTTGGCAAGGGGGAAAGCATATACTCCACAGATACCGAATATCTGGCATGTCAGATACCGTTATCTGGAGGTTGGATATGGAAAGCTGTTCGGGTAAAAGATCAGCCAGCTGGATCGCGAGTCCAAAAACCGGACGGCCTGCTAACAGAACCACAACAAATCAACCAAACTACGACTAAACAAGTCGCTTGGTAAGATGAGCGACCCTCAACTTCGATGTCTTTTAGAGTGCCTCCTGAGCCGTCAGCTATCAGGCACTTTTATACTTGTGCTCCGCTCCAGTAAATACCTCTCTGGGGAGAAAGAAACATGCTGGCTGTTTACAAAGTTGTTTCACAGTGTCAGCAAAGTCTATCGATTTGTCACCTTCATTGCTGCACTCTATCTACACTCTGCGCGCCTAGCCCCCGCTAGATTCCACCTTCTCAAGACTCAAGAGCGTGATTGACGAGGAAGTCTTGCAATACTATCTGAGACTGTCAGGCTTGCTCGCCGAGACGCCGAGAGGGACCTGGTTAAGTTTGTGAGACTGTATACAATGACGAATGATTTCTATAAAAACAAAACACAGAATTGGTGTTCGAAATCAATTTAATTAATATGAACAGAGGTAGAGATCCATTTATAATTTATCTCCAACTGTTCCATTCGTATTTTTCTTTAATGCTGAAAACAATGAGCCTTCATATGATGGACGCACTTTCTGAGCTTTCTGAAGGCGTCTAAATAGTCAAGGCGCTGAGACAGCATCATAAAATATTACATAAGAATCATGCAAAAGTGACTGAGGTCAAGGACATACAAAGATACGCAGAGTACCGCTGATACATCATAAAAGACATGATATGCTAACTAAGAAACATAAAGTCGTTCAAGAGTCTGATATCACCATGAACGGTCAGTTATGGTGAAGGCACGTCGGGTAAAGATGGCATTCATCCGATAGCTGTCAATTCAGAAACGCAGCAGCTCGTACTTTGCTCTTGAATATGCCTTGACTAGCGTATGTATGTAATACTTTTTGCTGCATCACACCATTTAACGATGTAGCCGCTGGGTTAGATTCCATCAACTCCGTGATTGAGTGGACTACGCCCGTCCCTCATGAAACCCAGCAAGCCTTTGATCATAGGATTTTCACTTGGTAGACCTGTCGTTGAGCTCGGTTGAAGGTCCTTGTTGTTATCATCTACTTCAACTCTCATCTTCCATTCCCAGACCTCTTCCCCCTCCGGACCGGGCTCGCGAGCAGACTGCGAATCAGCTTCAAGGTCAGTATGTCGTTTGTAACGAACTGTATGGAGCGCTGTGCGGCAATTCGTGATATGTTCCTCGTGAAGCGACGTAAGGTGTTTGACATGTTTCATTAGCGAACGGATGGTAGGTGGGCTAGGATCTGTAGGAGGAGGGGGCGGAAGCAAGTCGAGAAGTTCTTGTTCCACATTCTCAATTTCAGGAGCCTGGTCAAAGATTCATATGGTTGATGAGTGAGATGCCGACAAAAAGATCTAAGAGAGCTAGTACACTCACCAGCTTGGTCCGTGTTAATACTCCGACAATCCATTCTTTTCCATCTTCTAGTCCTTCTAGACCGCGAGGTACAACAGCGAGGTTTCCAATCAGACTTCGTTTGCTGGGTCCATCCTCCCACTTTGAGCGTTCCTCTCGTTCAGCACGAAATTGAGGAAGTTCGAAACGATTGATAGGTTTAGCTGCTGCCGGGGTATTGATGGCTTGTGACAATGCCTCAGTATGATTGAGGAGGATGAGAAATTTAGATATCAAGGTTGGGTAGGTGAGCGAATTTGAAGTATGAGGTGCAGACTCTAGTTGAAAACGAAAGGTCTAATTCTCGATACTTGTAAATCAGACATCGACAAGTTTTTGATAAGTAGATGATCAAATCAGTTCGTCTCACCGTGACAGCTTCGATCAATTGAACCAGTTTTGAACGAATGGTATCAAAGGTGTCCAGAGGAAGTTTACGAAGTTCATCCAAATCATTCGGGGTCAGATTAGTCACAGTTGAAGGGTCTTGTTGGATTTCTGAAGTATTGTTGATAAGAGCTGGTGCTAGTGTTGGAGAAGGAGAGATGGGTTGACTCATTTTGAATTTCGGTCAATCGATTGGATTTGGACGCGATGGAAAGAACTTGTTGGTAGCGGAATAAGATGCTGTGTACTTTTAGTAATCGAAAGCTGTAATTTGGGTTTTGGACCCTTTTAAGTCGGGTCGAGTCGGGTCACCGACCCTTGAATTTTGAATTTTGAATTAAGAAATTCATCATCACTTCATCCCCCTTCCAAAAATAAAAAAAACAAATCAAGTTCTAATTCTTCAAAAGATACTAAAAAATACACAAAAGCTTTATCCAATTAACATGAATCAATTCTTAATCAATTCATTCAAATCTAAATCCAATTCATTCTTGAATCTTAAACCGATCTTAATCTCAAATACTAGAAATTATCATTCAAAAGTTATAGATCATTATGAAAACCCGTAAGAACCCTTTCCTTTTATCAAATCCAATCACCAAAACGAAATCTCAATTTGACTTTTTTTCGTGTTTTGTTTTTGGATCGTAGTCGAAATGCTGGTTCATTTGCTAAATCTGAATTAGGTGTAGGTACTGGTTTAGTAGGTGCACCAGCTTGTGGTGATGTAATGAAACTACAAATCAAAGTTAATGATCAAGGGATCATTTCAGATGTAAGATGTAAGTGTGATCATTCCCATTCTTTTGATATCCTTCTAAAGAATTTGAACCCTTTTTTCCAATTTACCGGTTTTTGATTGATTTTTTTTTGGTTTGTTTGTTGGGGTTTTAGTCAAAACGTTTGGTTGTGGTTCGGCTATTGCTAGTTCTTCTTATATGACTGAAAGAGTTAAAGGAATGACATTGAAAGAAGCAGGATCGATTCGGAACACTGAGATCGCTAAAGAATTATCACTTCCACCTGTTAAAGTAAACCGATCTTCTTCTTCATACACCTAATCTCTTTTGAATTTTTCCGTTTTAACTAATTCGTTTGGTCTTTTGTTTTTTGTTTCGGTTCGGTGATGATAGTTACATTGTTCTATGTTGGCTGAAGATGCTATTAAAGCAGCTATAAGAGATTACCAAGAAAAGTTAAACCAATCTGGTAATCCTAAAAACCAATCAGGTCATATTGATGTTTCTCAAAGTGTCGTGACTGGTCAAACTGTGGCTACTGCTCATCCGGTTTCGAAATAAATCAGTTTTGTGAAACCTATCCTTCCAGTTCGATTTACGTTCCAATTTTCTTTTTTTTTGTTTGAGTTTGAGTTTCTTAAGTGAATCGTTCTTATAGGGGGGTTTTTTGTTACGAAAAAAAATGTTTTAATGTAAAATTAATTCTTTGAATTTGGTTTTATAAGAAATTCTTTTTACTGATACATCTTTATCTTTTATCATCATCATCTTTTATCAATTTTCAATTTTTTTTACATTTGATTGTTTGTTTTGTTTGATTTTTTTATGTTAATTTTCTTTTTGTTTACCAAAAATCCATACACATGTGAAAATAAGTTGATTCTCTTTTTATCTTTTGTTTTATTACAAAAAAAATAGAAGTTTGGTCGGACTCGATCAAGATTGGATTTGTCTTATACTAAATTTGATTTGATTCATATAAAGTTTAAACAAGTTCATAAAATCGTCATCTTTATAAGATTTAGAATCCTTTCCAAAGGATCAAAGGTGGTAAGAATTTCATTCATTTAATTGTTGTTATTATTTGAGTCACTTGTGATTCTGATGACAACAAAGAATTTGAATCCAAGAAAAAGAAAGAAAGTCATTTTTCTACCTTTCAATGATATATATACCCTACGCTAAAGATTCCATTAGTCTTACAGGGTCCAGATGTACACCAATTTCACCTTTCTTTGAATTTCCAAAACAATTTCCAGATGGCCAGTGATGGAGTTAATACTCATCTTATGAATGAACAAATGGGCAATTCAGGTCTAGTCAAGCAGAAAACAAGAGTTGGATCTTATATCATCTTAATTTGAGTCATGGTTTCATCTTCATATATAGGGTGCACAACACTTTTTCAAAAAACCTAATGAATGAAATTCCAAGTCTCTCTAAAGAGTTCTTCATGCCTTTCTCAGCTGCCTCAATGGAGGGATCTATTTGATTTGATCAACCAATTTAGGATTCCAATCAATTTCACAGTTTTGTTCAAGTCTGTTCTTTGTTTATCACTTCATTGTTCTTTTTTTGTACCTGAAGATCTGATATTTCTTAAAAATCTTTGTGGAATGTATACAGAAAAGTTGGAAATGTATACCAATACTTGATGGTTCACTTTAAGGAGCTTGTAATTAATCCACGGAAATTCACAAAACTTCTTTACTGGGACCATACAATTTTTTTGATGACCTTTTAATGAAATGGCATTGTATTGTTGTTCTGTTGAAGTAATCAACACCCATTCATAAAGATTTTTGGTCAGATTTAGGTATTTGGAAACAAAGTTTTTCCATGGAAAGTGGTGAGCTACATTATCTATAACAGGCAAAACTAAGTTCAAATGACCACTGGATATATTCACTGCTGCATCTACCAAAGTATATGACAAAGGTACCTTGAAAGTTGAATCAATCAAATAATATTCTCTGGCTTCCAGTCCTTGGAAAATATGATCCAGACCAGGGTATGTAGGTTCATGTGGTTATAGGATTACAAACTTCTAGATCTTTCTGGCTAGGATCTTTGAAAATCAATGGTCTATCTTTCCTCTACAATCAGTTTTGGTTTCATTGGTACAGAAATATATTTGAACCTCTGTTAAATTTTATATTTCTTATGTACATGAATCAGATGTAGTAATATTAGCCTCTGGTTAATGAAAGGTTCTTGATAAATGCATTGGAAAGCTATAGGTGACATGGAGGATTTCATCCTGGTTTCAACCAATGGCTGTTGTTGAAGTTTTGGTTCTAGTATCATGTTTTGATCTGCAGCAACTTAGTTGATACTGGCTCATTTATTTCTGTTTTGATTTCTAGTAAACTACTGAAGGGTCTTTAAAGCTCACAGACTCCTACAAATTTTTCAATTCTGATAAGCAGAAAGTTCTGTTGGATAGATGTTAGGATGGTGTTCTTGTCATTTTCTTGAGGAGTTCCTATGATCATCATCCATCAAGTGATAAGATTGGATTTCTGCTCATGTCCTTCAAGATTGTGGTAGTTCATCCCTTCAGGGGTGCTGAGTGGTAGATGATGATCCAAAATGTTTTCATTGGACCTTTGATATTGATTGGTTTTGATAGAATAAGTATGTAAAGTGAAGTCTTCTGAATGGTTTTGTCATTTTTTTTTCTTCATGGGGAATTAGATCTCTATGATCCCATTGTCTCAACATCTGAAAAGGAATCATACAGAGTGACATAATGCTCCCAATCCCAATCTGCATCTGTGAGTCAGCCTGAGCCCCGACGGGGAATTGTCGGGGACTAGCTCGCCCGGACCCCGCCCCGACGGTTAAGAGGCCTCCCCGATCCCGTTCTCGGGTCCCCGATCGGGGTTTTTTGCGAAAAAATGGCTGCCCGGACCCCAACCGAGTTCCCCGCCGGGGCCCCGACGCTCCGGCAAAAACTGCCCCTCACCCATGGATCGAACACGGTCCCGGCCTATTTGCGTATAGATCCGCAAAAAAGGACCGTACTGCCAGTCTGCTTTGGCGTACTACCTTTGCTAAAAAGGTTGACCGCGTCAACCGCACAAGAGAAGACAAGAGGGGTCAAATTTCGCCGCAGCCTGCTGCAAAGCCGCTGCGCATCTCACAGAATCAAATTCGCCTGATCACAAATCTTCATGTGATCGACTTGACCTGCCACTTTCTGGCTTTGAAATATCTTGCGATTGCTCATAAAGCACAGATATATAGCTCGGTATGTTGAAATCAAGCACACAGTCCGTTTGTGCAACTTCACCCAAGCTGTGAGCGCTACACTGACTTGTTTGACTCAAAGCAGGATAAGAACATTTGATTGAACGGTATGACAAGGCTGGATTGTGACTACAGAGTTCTTGCCTACATCAGTTCAAGCCTGGTTGGGTTTCTCTTTTTTGCTTTCATTTTGAAATGAAATCAAGGTTTTGATCTTGGATATGTGTCAGTGCAATCATCTATGACAATGTCATTTGAGCTCTTGACTGAGCGAGAAAAATGAAATATTTTTTTCAAAAAAAGACTTGGTTTTTTTTTCTGTGATGAGACCAAAATGTAAAAGCACAAAAGTACACACGGACTCGAACCCACCATCAATGATTCAATGCACTGAGATATGTGCCGTGTCAAACTACTACACTACAAAAACGATGAGGAACGATGGGAATATGCATTATCGATATTGCTGAACAAGAGCTGGGCTTGGCTGTACGGTCAATCTGGTCATACCAAGCTCTACATTTGTTGTCGAGATAGTTTGCATGAGTTTCAAGATATAGCAAAGCCAGAAAGCGGCAGGTCCAGTCGATGGTATGAAGATTTGTGATCGGGCGCACTTTGCTCTCTGTGAGCTGCGCAGCGGCTTCGCAGCAGGCTGCGGCGAAATTTGGCCTCTCTTGTCTTCTCTTGTGCGGTTGACCCGGTCAACCTTTTTAGCAAAGGTAGTAATTGTGGTATTTGGGCATTTGGTGCAGGGGCCGAGGCGCCTTGAGGTGTGGCTGAGGTCTCTTTGATGCCTCCTGCTGCCCACCTGGTGTCTTTTTTGTTCTCGAAAAGGTGGTTACAGGTGGTTACACACCTGTATTTGCCCCGTCGGGAAACTGGTTTTTCCAAGTCGCCAGCCCGACTCCCGACTCGCGGGGATCCCCGACCATCGGGGGTTCCAAAACCTTTGCCCAAACCCCTTACCAATCGGGGGCCCCGTTGGGGACCCCAATCGGAATCAGCTTTGGGGCTCAGGCTGATCTGTGAGCAATGTGCCAGAAAGATTGGGTATGAGAAATCTTAAAATAACTGGCAGATTTCTAAAAATATGCATAATCAGGAAGATGTAGGGTGTATGGTAGGATGTTAGTTTTTTTCAGTCAAAAAAAATCCAAAGGCGGACAAAAGTCTTTTATGAACATAGATATTCAGTTTTAGACCATAAGAAATATAGTATGTGAGAGCCTCATCATATATTGAAGTACAAGAAAGATTGCATTTCAAAAATCAAAACAATCTTCAAAGAGAATCAGGGTTCAGCAAATGTTGATGCTTTTATCTGATACAATGTTGACTAAAATCTATGATATGAATTCCTCAAATTCATCAGTGCATCCATAATATTAATACTCTTGGGGTTAAACCAATCCGGTTTTTTGGCAATGTCATGCTCCAAGAATATTTGTTTTCCAGTGAAGGGATCAAAGCATTAAAAAGGAGACATAGTAGCTACTCTTTTAATGATCTTCATCTCACTTTGGAGTACCATAGTTGAAACATTGAGTTTGGCCCCAAGTTTCATATAAGCCAATAGACACATTTTGTAGGAGTTTTCACTGATCTCAGTGTTGCACTGATTCAATGGGATTCCAATCAAGCCCTTTAACTTGATTCTTAAATGCAGGAAGTCAAATAAACAGTTTGTGTCCAATGGAGTCCTTGATATCTCTGTCAAAACCTTGATCAAGTAACTGGGGGATGCTTTTCACATTCCCAAGAAGGAGTCCTCATTCACTCTCAAATGTGGGGCACCTCATCCAAAATTGGAAGAGTTCTGATGGCCTGGATTTTGACATGACCATATATAGTAGGTTTTTTTGCATCTTGAGAATTATATAGATTCTTGAGAGCCTGTCATTCCAAATATGGGCATCATTGTGATGCTCTTGGATTTTGATTGAGTGCCAAAGTGATTCATCATTTGAATGTGATATGATGTTCTTGCAATATTTAGTCCGAGTAGCTCCGTCGGGTGACAAGTACCGAAAGGGACCGAGCGGGGCTGATCAGGCAGTTATGTAACACAAACTGTCCATTCCGAATTTCCACCAATGATTCCCAACCAAACGCACAAAAGGTGAGTCTTCAATCCAATTTAGTATCTCAAAGTATGAAATATGAACACGACCGTTAATGAGCAAAACATTTTACAGGATTCAATCGAAACATGACTGATAGTTCTTCATCAACAACTCGCAAACCTGAAAAGATTGTTATTCCAGTGTCAACTGATGAACGTTGTTGGTTTAAATGTAAACAAACCAACGCAGGAAGGTCAGCTCAAACGTTGTCATATTTTTAAAGAAGTCAATACCGATTGTAATGAATCCGTTTTTTTGGAAATAGAGTTCGTGGATCCGATCCAAGATGTAGAATGTTATGTTACTATTCAAATAAGATTCCAAGTTTACCAATAAACCCACCAGCAGACTTAATCTCCAATGTTCAGACAAATGCAGCAAACCCTTCAGGTTCTCAATCACATCAAACTGTTTTACCTCAAACATCAACTCAGACAATCACAGATGAATTAGAGGACAAACGAGCAAAGTTAATCGAACGTTATACGATTCCTGCATTACGTGGTTCATTTATTTATTTTGCCATTGGAAAACCAGCAGTCTCTCGTCATCTGGCTTCTATGCGACGGTTACATTCTGTCGAACATAATTGGATTTATGAAAAACTCAAAGAAGAATCTGAGGATCCATCTGAGTGGGAAACTGTCCCCAAACGTCCAGTTGAACAAACAAATAGAGGTTTGATGGTTTTATCGTATCATAGAGAGTAAGTACCAAGTTCAACTCACTCCAAAGATTTATTTATTCCAAACTAATCAATCTTTCCTTGTATCGATAATCTTAGTTACGAAAAAACAATCAACATCTCATATTCTCTTGCTTCGATCTTTACATCTATTCACCTTCATTTTGAAAGATTATACAGCCCTACTTATCGAATCATTTCCAAATTACCTACATCGATTTCTAATTTATCTCAACAATCATCATCGAACGACCATTCAAACCAATTTGCATTATTGATTAGACTTTATAATAAACCGATTTTAAATGATTCAATTCAATTGATTAATAGATCTGCTGAGAGTCTTGTAGAAGTTGTGAATAGATTAGTTATTAAATATCAATCTAAACTTGATGATCATAAAAAAGATCCTCCAAAATCGTAAAAATCCATCAGCATTAAATTCATGAGAAGATAAACAGATGCAATACTCTTTGATAAGAAGTTTCAATGTTTACTCGATCGTAACTCAGCTGGCTAGGAATTTGTATTTCTTTGTATTTCTTGTTTGATTCTGATGAAAGTCAATCACGTTCAATTTGGTTAACATCCATATAGTTTTGGAGCCAGAGCTGGTATACTTGCTTCAGCATGATAATGCAGCACCTTCTGCTTCTGACAAGAATGTTATGATGATGATGTGTTCTTCTTTGCATATTACTGGGTGCATGGTATCGACGGATATAATATGTGCAAACTTTAATGACGAGAATAAGTTTTGTCCAACGACTGATCCCATCGATGTTCCTTCACAATTCCATCACATCTGAAGCCAAAATGGTGCCTGGTCACCTCTGGTTTTTATGATGTTGGCCCGGGCCAGGTCTCGCGCCATCGGACTCTCCATCGGCCTTTCAATTCCTTTTAAAAGTGCGGTTAGCTTTTCATTACAGACAATGTTGTGGTTTTTAGTGATGGTAATGTAAATGGAGATATAAAGAGGGATAAATCAATGTTGTAAATTCTCTATAATCAATGATATCGTAAAGATAAAAGTGTTCTCCAGTTATCATATGATAGCTAATTAGGTTCAAATTGAGATAGAATATCTACTTACAATTGGCTATGAAGAATCACTTGATATCTTTACAACTTTGAGTTCTCATAAATTTTCCAGACCTCTGATAAGTTTGCAGTTTTATGTGGAATGGAGGAATTCTTGGACCAGAGGAGATAAATCTTCCATTTAATTGAAGTGTGAACAGTGTTTTTCCTTTCACTGACCCTAACCCTTTGTGACCGCTTCATGTTGGTCACCAATTTCCAACGTGCATTTATTAGAAACTATCAGGCTACCCACAAGATTTTGGGAAAAGCCCAATATAAAAAGATGTTCAAATTCCCGTAACTTACATCCTGGTGTACTTCTCCTTGACTTAGACTTTAGGGACACTTTTCTTTGTGATACCATACACCAGGGGTTATCATAAATCATCTGTTTGGCAAGTAGGGGCTCAGTTAATCAAAACATGGTGCGTAAATTACTGGTCTCTCAGATATGTATGTACATGAGATACTTCTGGAAAAGAGATTCAAGGAACAAAGAAGGAGAGAGTAAAGAGGAAGGAGAAAGAAACAAAAGAAACATCTGCGTTGGTCTTCAAAGGACAATTTATGTATAGCACACAATGTATGTCGAAATGAGAAGCCGGCATCTAAGCTATGAAGCGTGAGAACGACTGTACGGAGCAAGCTGTTCAAAGAATAAAACACCATCATGGGCAAGGAACGACAACATTTATCTGCAAGAGACAGGGTATCCGGTTTTGAAGGATCAAGACATGTGTCTAGTTTTCATTAATTTTGAGGTGTACATTGGTCACATTCTAAATGCCATGTGCAACATCGTCAGGTCCGATCCATGAAAAGCAGAAATAAGTAACAAGTTGAGACCACAAATGAGTTGGAGGTAAACTTACGCTGGTTAAGATGCCGGGCAGTGCAACGGTAGACGTCCCGGGCTGCTGGGTTCCCTTTGAAGCAAACTTTTGTTCAAAAAATACAGTAAGTAGAGTTCAACATTTTCAAAAGGTCAGTAGGCAGCTCAAATTATCTAGAACCGAAGTGGACAGTCCAAGTCTTTTTGCCTGAGGATATAAGATGAAAATTGACTCAACAGTAAGGTCTACCTGGAGAGCTATCCGCATTCGTGTCCGTCCCCGCGTCGCAATCCAATGATCCATTTGTAGTCAATGGATGGGGGCCAATACAGCCGCTAGCAGCTGTGAGATGATTCAACGAAAGAAGAGGTCAGCAGTCAGTCGGTCATACATTGATTCAAGACGAGAAATTTGTTTCGCACAAGGTGATTTCCCATCCCCCCTTTTGCACACCTTACACAGATAAGTGTGCTTGATGTTGTCAGAATCTATTGTACCACACTCTTTTGGTAGTAAATTGTTTTCGAACGGAAGGTATATACATGTTTGCGTCAGTTAACCATATCCCTGAAGATGATAGAAATGGTTTCGAAGAAGTGAAAAACCACAGGCTGCGGGGAAATTTTAGACTGACTATTTTGATTTTGATTAGCACTCGATGGTAATTCCCAGACCCGGTTGCATTCTATAGCGTCTGCAAAGATGTGAGAACCGAGATTTCCTGCGAGAAGAAACACGAGCGCAAGGAAAAAAATAGGGTTCGTTTGTGTGCAAAACATATTGAAATTTGAAATGTTTTTGGTGATATTGACAGTGGAAAAATAGAAACTCTTGATGAAGGGAAGGCAAGTTCAGATATAGGAAATGGAGGATATGCGTTATGCCTGTCTGACAAAAGCAGGTTTATATGCCAGTCACACATAAAAAAGATATCAGCCAGTTGCGGAAACATAGATACCTCTGGGTCCAAATTCCTGTTGACATAACCCTTGCACCCTGTTACGGAGTTCCTGGCAAACTTAACTGGTCCCTGGGTTCAATGAGGACGCTGCGAAGGCTACCCAGAATGCGGCGAGTACACCGTGGGGAAACTTTTGACGATGAGCACGTACATGGCGTTTCAATGTGGCCCTCACTAAGCTTATGGCGCGGCGAACGCGCTCGTGAGGGGAGAAGCTTGCCCTCACCCAAATCTGCCATGTACCCACGACGCAGGCGCAAGATCGCGGCGGCGTAACATGACTACAACCTACACATGAGATGAATGCCTGTCTTCCAATCTCATGCGCATGGTACGGATAGCATGTCTGAAGCCACTTGTTTTAACCAGAGAGGACAGCCAGCTTTTGACGACCAATATACGGACGAAATCACGAAGACTCGAGACAAATTGCTTGCAAAGTAGATTGCATCATGTACAAGACACTGGCAGGAAGGCTCATACCATGTCATTCTCAGATTGCATGAGTCTTTCCATTACACCTCTATGCCCTTTTGATTTCTGTCTATGCTTTGGACTACCGGGGCATTGCAGTGTGTCAGGGAGCTTTTGGTGTGATGGGATTCTTGGTAGCTCTTGTTGACTAAAACTCCAGGGTTACGTTATGTCAGTGCGAAATCTGAAAAAAGGTTGTGATATCTTGGGTTTGGATTCCCCTTTCTCCTCGATCAAACTTCGATTCAAGAATTCCAATTCAAGAAATGTCAACTTCAGCCGTAAACTTGAGGGAACCATTAATCACCTCAGCTGTTTCGTTTCTTCAAGATCCAAATGTAGCTTCATCATCACTTGCCAAACGATTAGCATTTTTAGAATCAAAAGGTTTAACCGAATTCGAAAGAGATGAAGCTATTCGTAGAGTATCGAGTTTGAACCATTCATCAACTTTTAATCGCTCAAGAGGTAATCAAGGTTATGATTTTGATCATCGGCTTCAACAACAAGTTGGTCGGGATTGGAGGGATTGGTTTATTATGTCAGTGATTGGAGGTGGGATTGGATATATAGCTATCAGCTTATTCAAGGTGATGTTTACATTTCAATTTCTCAAGTTTTTCTCTCATAACATTGACTAACGTTTTTGTTCTTGATCATTTAGAAATTCATCATACCAGCTCTTGAACCTCCAACTCAAACAGAACTGGATGAAGCTAAATCACGCTTAGAAGCAAAATTTGATGAGATCTCAAAAACATTGAATTCAATTGAATCGGATACAAATCTAATCAAGGAAGAATTTAAAGAACAAGATCAAAGATTAAATCAATCGATTGAGACAGTAGAAATGACTGTTAAAGATTGTATACAAAGTGAAAAGAAGAGAGATGAAGAGATTCAAGCTATCGAAGAAGAAGTTAAGCAATTGAAAAAAACGATCACTCTTGTAAGTCTTCAATACCTCTTCCGATCGATTGATTTGCAGTTTGCCCAGAAATAATTGACATCTCAACTATTTGTTGGGCTTGTATAGATGTTGGAAAACAATAAAGAGTCCCAAACTTCAATGATATTAGAACTTCAAACTGAATTGAGATCACTTAAATCTTTACTCGGATCTCGTGCTCCACAGGCCAGCACAACGCCTACAACTACACCCAATCGATTTGGCCCATTTAGACCTCCAGGTATTCCAGCATGGCAATTATCAACTACAACTTCCAGTTTAGATTCAACAGTTTTACCCCCCAATATTTCAAATCAAACTAATCATCAGCATTCCTCGCCAAATGTGCCGAATTTGGAAAATGAAGATGGATCGAAGTCTTTGGATCTTAAAACAAATGGGAATGGTGTCTTGAAATCTAGTGTACCTTTTGATGAAGATGATGATCAACCACTTGATCAATCACAAAAGCCCAATCTCAATAATTCAAATCAAGATAACGTTCAGGTGGAGAAGAGTGATGATTTGATGTCTTGATGATCTCCAGAATCAAAAGTCGCAATTGTTTTTTTTTGTTAAAGTAGTCCAATAGTTATTGTTTCGTGTTATCCGATATACATCATAAAACAAGGCAAATCAGGTTGATTGTACCAATATCAAATTATTAAACAAGATAAGTATTTTTTCTAAGCTTTTTGAAATGAAAGATATCAGATGAATTGGCACAGAAAGAAAACTGTAGTCTAGAGCTCTGTCTGGCATCTATAGAATGACCTGGGGAGTAATATGTCAAATAGTTTTTTGTAAAGAGGTTTTTGAATGCATGGAGTTTGGTGGCCTGTGTTTCATGCATCCTTGGCACTGCAATAATAATATATTTTGCCATGGTGAAAAATAATTGTATTTATGGAAAAATGATTGATAAAAAAATGTTTCTGCAGTTGAGGGCTCATTTTTGGCCCAACATTCTCAAAAAGGATATGGTGAGAAACATAATTTTGTCCTGGAATGTTTTTTTGGAGTTCCTGAAAGGATTTCACTTATTAAACTTAACTAAGTCCCTTGCCAAAGGCCTGGGGCTTCAGCAAGGGACTTACCACGGCAAACGGATTGCTCACATGAGAAGTAGCCTGTATTGGCTCAAAAATCTTGACAGCAGCTTATTGTTTTTTGAGGCAATCAACCTTCCTCAGTGCAAAAGGAAAGGAGTATGGCAAAGAGCCTCTACATACACTGGAACTTCAATCTTACTTGTATCAGTACGTCTCCTTTCAGCTGATAGACTAGTGGTCATTCTCACCAATTTTTGACAAATACAGGCTTTGAGTGCTCCCACTGTGTAGAAAATTGTGAGACAGACTCATCTAGTACATGAGCCAAAAGCAGGAGCTCCAGACAAGATTTGGAGGAACTTGAAATTGGATCATATGTAATGAATGATTGGCGTCTTCCTTTTACTTTGCTTCAAGTCCTGGTTATTTAGAAACAAAACAAGAATTTTGAAGTAGTGTTTTTTGAGCCAATAGAGGCTACTTCTCATGAAAGAAATCTGTTTTTTGTGGGTCCCTTGCTGAAGCCACAGGCCTTTTTCAAGGGACTTAGTTAAGTTTGTTTATTAATCAGCAACTCCGCAAGCAATTTCTAATACTTGTTCTTTTTTTTTGAAAGCTCACAGGAGTTCAAAAAAATCTGGAAAGATCTGGGAAGCTCAGAGATGCCCTTTGTGATGTGTAGAGAATTTTTAATTTTTTGGTTCCTTTGGCATGGATAGATGGAAGATATAACATCACAAGTTGCTCTCTGCTTGCCTCATGAATTGCAAATGGATTTTGGGTCACAAATGTATCAAAATCCAACAGATTGTCTCTAAAACACTTCCAGATAATAGGGGGTTTCAAGTCAATAAGTTTACGATATTTTACAGTCCAGCAAGTTGTCCGGTGTTGCAAAATATACCTTACATTTAAAAAAATCAGGACACCTGAAAGGTATCCCAAATACTGCTGACCATATATTTGCAGAAAAAAAACACTATAAAATTTAAAAAACTCGTTATTTTTTTAAAAAATTCCACAAATATTTTCTGACTTGAAACCCCCTAATGTCTTATCCTCCATTGTGTTGCATAGTCTTTTTGGGTGGATTTGGAGCCTTGAAAATGTTAGAAGCTTCTATATAGTCTTAACAAACAGGCATTTACCTGCTGAGCCAGAAAAATTCCCCAAAAAAATGTTTGACAAAGGGGGAATTTGTCAGAGTTTAGGTATTCTATCTCATAATGTAGTTTATGTAACAATAAATTATGATTCACACCCTAAACACTTGTTCTAATTCCCATTTCACATTTCACAAGTTTAGATGTTTTGTTTCTTTATCATTACACAAATATTTAACCATTTCCAGCCTAATGTAAACCTGTGTACCAGTTGTTTTATTTCATATTTGAACTACTGACAGAGCGTCTCTATAGGGTCTCTCTTCATTTAAGACTTTCTTACCCAATCTTGGGTGAAGGTGAGTACTTGAGGTCTTGTGGGTTCTGTGGAGTTTGATTCAAAGTTTGGTCAGAATCATACTGATCCCTGCTAGGACCCAGGAATTCTCCTGTAGAGGTTGGTGTCAAAACCCAATTTTGGGTTTTTGGGCTCTATACTACACACCAGTGCTCAGCCCAAGTTCCAAAGCACCTCAAGAGATGCATATGGGTGAGGGCTATCCAAAAATACGGGTCAGAGCCGCACTGCTGTGCTCACTGAGGTGTAGATTGCAAAGGCACAATTTTGTTTTTGGCTTGCAAAGCCCAATTCCAATGTTCAATTTCTGACTGTTAGATTTGAATATCTCAGCATAAAGAGGTGCCACAGGGTTGAAAGTATGTTCATTTGAAATCTCTTGTCTAGGCGTATGTGTCAAATACTGTTGCTTTTATAGAAGTGTAGGGGAGTGTGTCTACATATCACTCAAAAACTTTGGAAAATCAATGTCAGGATTTTTGACACCAACCTCTACAGAAGCATTCCTGGGTCCTTCCCTGCTCTGGCAGGTGAGTACTTGAGATTTTGTGGGATTTGTAGAGTTTGATCCAAAGTTTAGTCTGGATCATAATTATCCCTGCTCTGACAGGTTCACCTGATTGTAAGAAAATTGTCCTTCACTTCTCATATTTTTTTGGATTTTTCTTTCCACTTTTGGAGGCTAAATTCAGTGAGAAAATTTTGCATTTGTATGAATTATGACTGGAAAAGCTTGAGAATTACCAAATTGAGTGCTTGTGTTTATCTACATCAGCCAAAATCTCCCAACAAGAGGAGCATAACTCAATTTGACTGACCTGAATTTTTCAGATTTTATGGACCGATATCAAGCATGCCATAACAATTCCTAGTTTCAATCATTTTTCACTATGGAAAAATACATTATCTTCAGAGTGTGGGGAATTCTTGCATCAAAGGGCATAGAGCCTGCATATATTCAAAAAATTGACAGGTGTTCTCCTCACATTAGGATCTAGGGTGGAATCAAATAAGTAAGAGATATAGTTTCAATCTGACATCTTCCCAGTTTTCCTCTGTCTAACATCTCTTCTGGGATCAAATTGTTCATTTTCCTCAAGTTTTTTCTTGGAAAGTTCCAACCATCTTGAAAAGTATCACCGGTTTTATCGGCTTTTTTAGGATGTACAGGGTTTAAAGCCTTCAAGGCTCCAAAAGAAGGCGGAGTTATGCATAAGCATAATTTACAAGCTACTGTAGTCATGTCTTGCATCTTTATATTGTTGAAGGATGATGCAACTAACTCAGGTCCAAGTTCTTGGCAGAGCTTATCAAATCACCTATCAATTTGAATTTTCAAGGACAACCCTTCAAACTTGGATGACCCTGGCCTCAGAGCAATTTCTAAGACATTGATTGAATTGTCCACCTATTGCTCCTTCATCTGATCACACACAGGATTTGACTCCACCAATTAGTGCTTCCAGTTGTTCATCTCTGTATCATCAACTACCAATCTGATGCAGATTAAAGTTCCACCAGAAATTCCAGACCCACCAATATCCATTGTTGATTTTTCACATGCTCTTGTATTACATTCAGCTCAAGACAATCAAGCATTAGTACAACTATCACCTCCTCTACCACCTGTTCTGGCCAAGGATTCTTGGGATTGGCAACCAGGCACACTTCTGGTGCCCAACAATATCTCCAGTGTGATTGATCCAGAAGATATTTTACCACCTGAATCAAAATGCTGCCATACTCATGCATCTCACCAACAGAATTGTATTACTTGAAAAAAGAAGGCCTGATCTGTGGGTAATTCAATGACTCCCAAACAGCTCAATTCCCAAATGCAAATCATCACTCCTGATCTCATTCTGACTCAATTAAATTCACTCAGAATCACTGGAACAGTGAAATAAGTTGATATTGATCCTAAAACCCACCTTCAAGCTCTAAAATCCGACAAAAAAATTGATTGGTGTAAAGCTATTGATAATGAGCTGGAAAAAATGGATTGGAGGAAGGTTTGAGATGTGGTGGAGCTACCACCAGGTAATAAAACAATTGGTACAGCTTGAATTTTTAAAAAGAAAATGGGGGGAGATGGTGAATTGATTAACTTTAAAGCTTGCTTGTGTGTACAGGGCTTTTTGCAGGAGTATGGTGAAGATTATAAGGAAAGCTTTGCCACAACCAGCAAATCGGAAAATTTAAGGACTGTTAATAGAATGGCAGCAGTAGATGATCTTGAAGTACATCAAATGGATGTGGTAGCAGCCTTTTTGGATGGTTCACCAGAAGATACTATCTATGTGAAAATACTTGAAGGCTTACTTGTTGAACAAGATACTTCAACATCAGTATTGAAATTGAATTTGGTGTTGTACAGATTAAAAAAGCACCCAAGGTGTGGACTACTCACTTATCAAATAAGCTAGAGATTAAACAAGAAGATATACCTCTTTCAAATTTAGACAAGCAAGGTGCTATATTGGTATCAAGGAATGATTTTTTCAATCAAGAACACGCCATGTAGATATAAAATATCATTGGTTAAGGGAACTGGAAGCAAGTGAACAACTCAAAGTAACGTATGTTCCAACAGATGACATGATTGCAGATATTTCAACAAAAGCATTAACACCAGCCAAGCGTAGGAATTTTTGTTTGTTGATGGGATCAGACGATGTAGCAAAGACGGGGGAAACTGAGATTGGTAATCTCAGACACGCTTTATTATCATGCACTTATGTTATTCTTTTGCTTACATCACTTATCTGTAATGACGGAATGATTTTGAGTTCCTATAAAAGGTCCTTCACATCTATCATTGCACCTCTTTCTTTTTTTCAAACTCAAATTTATTTTTACAATCTTTGTCTTTTCTCAAATTTCCATTTCTCTTCGATCAAGTGTGTCAGCCTTTATACAAAAGCTGATAACCTGAACAACACAGGTTATCTTTTTCAATCTGTGAACTCAAAGGTTGTTGACATACTCAAGGATCGGATCTCTGGGGAGGATACCGCAGGCCAACCAAATGTAGCAGGGCGTATGTTGGCGCGTCTGATGGCGCTCAATGACAAGACAAAGGCTTCTCAAAATGCCGAGATTTTGCCAGTCGGGACGATCAGACGAGTCATGACGATCAAAGTCATGATCGAGGTTGAATACCATGGCTCCAAAGCGACTTCCTCGACCTTCATCCGCGCTGCATGCACCTTTTCCAAGACATTCGTCGTGAGCTTGATGGTGATTTATGAGGCTGTCAATTGTGAATGGTGCACGAGTGATGAAGGAGTTGATCCTGAAAAGAAGTGATGTGGTAAAGAAGTAGAATCCACTTTGCCTGTTGAATTTGGGCCAGCTTTGACAATGAAGCGATCTCAGATTGTTCAGTTTGTCCTCACTGTCACATAGCAGGTTTCCGATCATCGCATGTGTTTGTGTTCGTCTGAACGTTTTTTATCTATTCCAGTTGATTTACCCGCCCGCGCGGACGTCATGATGAGCTTGATGAGCAAACGGTTCTCGTATGCTTGGTTTTCATTTTTTCTTTCGCGTGATGCAAACTGGGGATACGTTATAAATCCATATGTTCGACACTCTTTATATCGTTGTCATATGTGAACTCTTGTTTGAAGTTTGTTGTCGACTTTTCTCTTTTTGTTCAACTAGTCTTCTTGTTGTTATACGATCATCAGCTTTTTCTTTGGTTGAAGAATGGTAAATAGCTTATAGGAAAAGTCTCGGGGGAAATCCCGTATTCGCAAACCACGAGGTTTACCTGAACTCTTCACCGGACTCACTTGTTTCCGTCCGAACTTCCTTGTATCGACAAGCTTTGAAACAGGTTGAAACTGTTAACACACATTAACGGTACACAAATATTAAAAAGGGGATATAGATGTGGCAGTCCAACCCTGGACATCACACCAAGCCACGCAGTATAGAAGCGTTACAATTCTCGATCGTCAAAAGAGGGCATACAAAAGTTTGACAAGTACATATGTACCTAAGTTTCAGCATGCCACGACAGCAAAATTAACTCCTGCCTTGAATCCCCTTGGTACTCACCGGTGGGTTGCTCTTAATTTGTGCTTGGTTCCGGAATCCGCAGTGTAGTCTCTTTACTTCGTCGCAGTTTCTACATATTTGTTTCAATCTACCCAACTTATTATTTGGTGGAAACCTTAAATGACAAAAATCCCTCAGAACACAGTGAACTTCCTTGCAGTACTGTATGCTGTATACAATAGAAGGACCAAACGTACAGAGGTCTCACAGCGTCCAAGTGGCAGCTTCCCACCCCCAAAAACGAACAAAAAGGGATATCTCCTAAGCTTAACTGATATCTCCACAGATTTCTCCTGATCTCTCCTTGGCCTCTCCCCGCGGGCCTAATGCTCAAAGATAGCGCTCTCACGAAGTCTCACTGATAGTAACACGCTTTTCTCCGCAATCTTCAACTCCGATGCTCTGGAGGTCTGACTTTACTGTCCATCTCATACGCTGTGTAAACTTTAAAGCAGCAGCGCAAAGCATACCCCTTGAATCTAGAGGCTTGAATTCGCCAACTGTTTCAAACCGTTATTCAACACACCGGTGATTCAACATTGTAGATTTAGACCTTGACGCCTATCTACCCACAATAATATCTGTAAACGCTCAATCCGCTGTATCACCGCAGCATTCCAAACTATTAAATTTGTAATGCGCTTTGAATTTATGTATAATCAAAATCATGTGTACACGTGCTCAATTTCTTTATGCGCTCATCCTTTTTTCATACCGTATCTTATACTTTCATCGTCGAAACTAATATAGATTCTGAAAGGGATTATGCGTGTAAATCTTTTCCAGCCAGGAATTGTTTTGAGCACGTCTCATCATTTGCATATTTATATTCAAATTACCTAAAATTTCACGTTGCACGAATTCAATAAACCGTGGAAACGTGCCACCAAACCTTACTCACTTAACGCATTCAGTATCACGTGGAGGTTATTGTAAGTTACTCCTGCTGCGTTACCCACTCTTGAGAAGGCGTTTTACTCAGGATATTTAAGGACAACTACATTCCTATCATCGCAAGGAAAAGATTGAAAAGCGAGTGGGGGAGAGACATTAGAGTGTTTTTTTACCTCGACCATCGGAATATTTTGTTTAGTGTTCTCGACTTTATTTTTAGATTAGAAATGGATAGCATGTCAAGCGCCGCAATACCATCCGCTCGAACATCCACGGGTAAATCAGACCAGGAAATGATGAACCAAAATGCTATCTCAGATTCGGTGTTAAGCAAAGTAGATTCAAGTATAGCCCAATATGTTGAAGAACCTGTCACCAAAGAAGAAATGGCGAGGATTAGAAGAAAAATTGATATTCATCGTGTGTGATTTGGCTAATAATTTTCTGGGGTTATCCCTTCGATGTCTTAATCAGCTCTCCTACTGACCTGTTTCCTTTTTTCATATACCCTGTGATGCAGTGCTTCCACTGATGATGATCACTTACTTCATTCAATTGTTGAGTCACGTCTCCATCATAAATGCACTCTTGCTACTCCCTTGTACTCTATTAATTAGCTCATCTGTGTTTGCGGTTGATCAAAAAGTCTCGATAAATCTACCATTGGTATGTAAACTCGACTATCAGTTCTCTTTGCTTCTCTGCTTGACTTTGAATTCTTTCAAACAGGAAACGTGGCGATACTAGGATTACAAAAATCTACCCATCTAACGGTCAGTCAATATAATTGGCTTGGGACAATTTTTTTTGGTGAGCTTTTTCACCAGATCCCTATTTCTGGGAATTTCGAAAGTTTTGCTCACTGACCATACATATTACGACGGGCCATACCAACAATCTTGGAATGGATAGTATCTTATCTACTCTTCGAGTATCCACAAAACCTAGCCCTTCAACGTTTTCCAGTAGGAAAATGGATATCCCTCAATGCATTTGCTTGGGCTATATTTGTTGCCTTACAAGCGGTGCGTGAATATTTCATCTATTTTTCCATGGGTAAAGCTACCTTTCCCTTTGAAATCCGGATTCTGTATATTTCATCTTCGTGGGCAAAACTGATAAACATTTGGGAATTTATCCTAATCTGTTGTTGCATGAAACTGATTTTTCTTTCAACACTTATCAATGAAATGATTGATAGAGTTGTAAAAACTTTATCCAATTATTCTTTTGCAGGTTTTTCTTGGGGGCTTGTGAGGGTTGTGCCACAGCGGGTTTTATGATTACCACATCGATGTTAGTCAATTTTTTCTTGTTTCAGAAACACCGATTATTTGTCGCTTGGTAGGGTATGTCGAGATAATGAAGCTTCTTGACCGAACGAATGATTAAAACAGGTTCTATACACACCAGGAGCAAGGTCTAAGGACGGGTTTTTGGTTTTTGATGTCTGTCAGTCGTTTTCTTCAATTTCCAAAGACACATATTTTTAATCAGGTGTGATTTGTGTTGCTCAATTTGTGTTGCATCACATTTTTAGGGTTTGTCGGTGGCCGCCGGAAGCTTCATTAGCTATGGAGTACTTCATATCAAGCCAACAATTGTAATCCTCGTTCTTCTCCAATTCATGTCTTCCGATGCACTTGAATTTTGAAAACTCGGAATAGAGTTTTCAATGGTGCATTGAAGGAACCCAAAACGAAACAATCCTTAAGATATTATAACTGACAGACTTTAAACTTTTTCCTTTTACCAACAGATGGAACCGTGGCAATGGTTCTTTGTCATCATCGGAATTGTAACATTCCTTGTTGCTGTAGCCCTTTATCTTTTCTTTCCTGATTCACCTACCACCGCTTGGTTCTTGACTCCAGAAGAAAGGATCAAGGCTGTATCAAGACTAAGAGTCAATTGCACTGGTGTGAGTAGACTGATTACGCGTTCATCTATGTTTGAGACACGTAGAACTGACACAGAACACGCAAAAAAATTAGATTGAGAATAAGAAATTCAAAAAATACCAAGCAATTGAAGCTTTTAAAGACCCAAAGACTTGGATGTGGTTCACTTATTGTATACTGGCCACTATTCCTAACATCTCTCATCAACAAGCATTGATTGTGAGTAAAGGTTCTCCTCGCAAAATTACTGTATCATTCCTCGAGAAGTGACAAAAGAGGTACAAAACAAGAACGCATAATGATGATATAACCTGATCCTGATCTTATGATTACGATAGATAAAAGCCATCGGTTATGATGTGTTCCAAACCAGTCTCTTAACTTCAGTGATTGGTTTTGTACAAAGCTCAGCTATCCTTCTTGGTGTAGCCTTGGTTCGTTTTTTCAAAGACTCGAGATCAAATGTGGCTGGTGAGTTACTTTGCTCAAAAGCACCTCCTATCTTCTTTTCAATTCAGACAGTCATCTGGTAAATTCATTCTGATCATCAAAACTTCCAATAGTGGCAATGTCGACTGTCAATTTAATCGGAGCGATCTGTTCGATCGCCTTACCCTGGTCGAATCGTGTAGGACTTCTCATAGCTATTTACCTAAACCTCTTCCAATCTGCTGTAAGTGTCACCATTTGTTTCAATACATATCGTATGCTGAGCTGATGTGAGGTTTGGTTGTGTAGGCTTTTGTTATCACCATTGGATGGCTCACTGCGACTACCGCTGGTCATACGAGTAAGTCAACTATCATCATTCTGTTCATTTTTCAAATCGTGTTTCCATATCAAAACGCCAAGTTGAATCTATATTTCGCAATCGTAGAACGCATCACAGTCCAGGCTTTTGTCCTCACCGGTAAGTCTCACATCATATTCACGTCGTATTGTCCTCAGCTACTCTTGATGGTACACTAAGTCAAAACGAAATCTCTTGTGAATGCGTTGGCTTGAATCATACAGGTTACTGTATCGGCAATATCATTGGTCAGTCTTTTTGATCAAACTTATGGTTCAAATACAAGATAATCATTCAAAGATGACTTAAATAAACGTGAACCGATCTTTACAATCTGTGATCTTTGATTCGTTGATTCCAGCACCACAATTATGGCAATCGAAATATAAACCTCGAAACATTGTCCCTTGGTCTATCATCACCTTTTGTTATGTGTTTGGAGCTTTAATCTTAATCTTTATGAGATTTTATTTAAAAAGACAAAACTTCATTAGAGATTCAAAAATAACAAATCAAGTCATAGTCAATAAACAAAAAGAAAATGAGAATGAAAATGAAGATAAATCAGTTAAAGCATTTATGGACTTGACTGATCTCGAAAACTCTGGTAAGCATTTTGGATCCTATATAATTTTTTTTTTCAAAATCTTTAGAAAGCCTGATTTTTAAGAATCAAGAATCTGATTCATTTTTTTTGCATTTTGATTGGTACAAAACTCTTGCACACTTTTAATTCAATCAATAACTCTGCATAATCTACGATAAAAATCCATTACCAAATCAAGATTACAGATATGTTTTATGACCAAGTCCAACCATGCCATAATTCCAAAACATGAATACCCTTTACGAAACATCAACTCATATAAATCTTCATCTCATGTCAATTACATCCACTTCGGTGTAAAGGAAAGTAGTTTTTTTCCACACCTTTTTCTTATCTTGTCTTGACTTTTCTTAAAGATCTCTCTATCATGCAACACATATCCAATCCCATATTTCATTTCTCACTCTTCTTAATCTCTCAGTGTCATACACATCTTGTTTAAATACATACCACTATCTTTCCATTGTACATTCCAAAGTTTTTATAACTTTGAAATTCTTGACTTATGTTGATGATCAATTTATGAAATACAAAGAACTCGTGATGATCTGGTTAATAAATCACTTAAAAACTAAAAACTTCTTAACACATTTCCTCAAACACTTTTTTCCTTCCAATCTATAAAGAATTTCACTCTCAAACAAGTTGGTTGTAATGGAAACATTCTAAAATGCTATTATTTAATATTCCATCAAGATACATCATGCATCTCTTAACTTCTGGACTTGATTCTTCATCCAATTACTTTGATTTTACCATATAAAAATGTTTCAGTACCACACCTTCCCTTCTACAGCCAGACCTATAAATCAAACCTCACTCTATGCCATAATAAGATTTTTAAAAGAAATACAAAAATTTCATTCCAAATTCTCTAATCATATAGTTCTTTTTGACACAGATCAAGTGATCACCCATTTATTATTATCAATTTTGTTCCACACAAATCCAACCCAAACCCTCAAACACCAACCCAATTGAGAGCACCGAAGAACCCGGGGAAATGTTCTGAGAATCGGCTGAGAATCTCAGCATGATAATCTCACTGAGAACACCATCATACAGCACACAGTATTAACATCGTGTAAGCATATTACACGTTACATGGAAATTACACCTCACAGTCAGAAACCATAAGCTAAATGTTTTCTGACCAAAGTCAGAAAACATAAGCGGGGGTATACCTGATCCATGTCACAGGGTCGTCCAGATATTCCGACCCCTTGTTTCAAGCAAAAATTTTGCTCAGCATTTTTTTTGTCGCGTCTTCCACCCACCACACCATGTCTTCGCCATCGCCCTCCAAACGCAACACTCCCCCATCCAAACTATTTTTGGCCAACACACACACCGGCCAACACACCGCTTTGACACACCAAGCACCAGAAACCGCATCGAGACAGCATGGTCGTGCCCACTTTAATCGCCAAACACTACCGCATGGTCAATCCTGGCGGACCCCTGCCACTACCCACACTTCGTGGGAACGTTGGCCTCCATTGTCCCGTGTGTTCGACCCCGATGGTGTACAAAACCGCGAAGGTCGATGCTTGGCTCATTGGGGCAAGTTTTCAAGAAGTCAATCAGCCTAAACGAAGATTACTAACGTAGCCTCTTTCTCGTATTCTCGTACAACAACAGTGCCCAACCCCGCAAAACGATCACAATTGGAAAACCTGGCGCTGCGACCAGCTGAATCACGAGCTCGCCCTGATTAATCTAGGCGCACCGAGGCCTATAGTCTCATCGCCATCCTACTGGGGTCCCCGTGTCTCTCCCCATGGCCAACTCCTTGATCAATTACCAACGACGACCACATCTAGCCATTGGTACCACCCGTTCTTGAATCGACCACAAGTCTCTACCACCAACGGGCGCCTCCCTAGGGCAAAACCCAGTCTTGTCTGTAAACGACCTCTTGAGGGTATCAAATCACAAAATCATAAGACTGGCGCAAACAAGAAATGCCCGTCCCAGTATTGCCGCGGAGTAAGTACCATCTCACCATAAAAAGCATGGTTGGTTTAGCATATTGACTCACTCACTTGGGATCACTTTCACCCTAATTGATGTCTCACGTAGTGCTGTACACATTACGGCTCACCTAACTGTCCCATCCATCCTCGACCATCTTCGATGGCCACACCTCAGCAACAGCAACCCCCCGATAGCGATGCCGATTTCTTACAACTGGGTATTTCCAACGGGGTGAGTGGCCCCGGTCTGGCTACTCCCCGAGGAGCCAGACAACCAGCCTCGCAATCCAGGCCTCACCAATGGGCACAAGCTGCAAACTCACTGGGCCGGCGTGTACCGCTGGATACCATGGTGATGCTTCAGAAACACCAAGCCGAAAGTGACCAAGCCTCGACCCGCCAGGCATCCAGCCTTATTGACGAAACTAAACTGGTCACAATTAACCTGTGGGTCAATGTAAGTCCTTTGTCATTTGTCATTCCGCGCTCAGAAGCCTTGATTGACCTGACTTCCACACTTAATTGTCGCTCGCTCAAGGCTGTAGCAGCCCAGCCCATCATGGCCTTATTTCCGATGTGGCCAAAAGCTGCTTTTGATGAAAGTCAGCTTTTGCTGGCTGCAATCCAGAAGGCAGTTGGCCCTGAGTGGAATCGTGCGCTGATGTTTTGGGACGTCAAAATCGGCGGATGGGTCAGTGACTTTCTTTTGGGTAGTACACATCGTTAACTGATCGAATTTACGTCACTCCTGGTTCGCAGGTAGCCACACTAGTCAATTACCCACATCGTTTCCCAGTGGGCCAACGCACAATCGTTGCACGGTTACCCACAGTCGAACTTCCTTCTTCAGCGATCTTGCTTTTGAAGCAAGTGTTGCCACCAACACCTTCACCAACCAGACGCCCCGACACTGATGCTTTTCGCTCGGCAAAAGAACTCCCCCCCATTGTCGACATGCCCTCTTCACCGACGGAAGGGGTTCCCAGCCTTTCGACCAGCCAAGCCTCGCTAGTGACACCAAATCCAACGTCTACCACTGAAGTCACCCCGGATGAAATCAGCACGACCGGGGTGACCACGTCCAAATCAACATTGCCACCTGCGCAACTGGCCACCCCGCGGCCTACGCCTATTGTCATTGATCTGACCAAATCACCCAACCATCAGAACTTTGAGCGCAATGACGTTTTCCAGCGCTATGATGAGGTCGATACTAAACCCGTCGTTGGCGATGCGTAAGTTCAAATTATATGTTGCTTGAGTCAACATAAAATAAGTGAGAACGTGTGTGTATTCCCAGACTTACAACGCCAATCACAACCCCACCTACGATGTCATCCGGCCTGAACTTGCAATCAAACACCACGGACGCTGCTGTCGAACCCTCGCAAGCCAGCTCTTCGACGCTCCTACCGGGCTGGCCTTCACCAATCCTAGTTTTGAGCCTGCTTGAGTGGTATTGTGAAACTGCCAATGGCGACCTTAAAAGGAAATGGCTCACCCGTTGGGGTGCTCAATATAGATTCTCAAGTTCTACAATGTACCAATATCGTTTATTTGTCAAAAAAGTGCAATATCATATATTTCACGAGAGGTATGCCAATCAACCACAAGCTATCGTGGCTGAGGCTCGTACATTCTACCAGGACATCTTCAACGAAGTGGCACGAGTTGGAATTCCAGTATGTACTTTCTCTTCCATTCAGTCCTTGTCATGAATACCGATCAAACATTAACCAACCTAATGGTTGTAGCCGCCTGAAAAAAAACAAATACAACCAATTGGCCAAGGATGTATGTATTTCATATCATTCATAGATCCGAACAACATGTGACTAATTAAACACAATGTCATAACCCATGACAATTTCGTCTCAGTGTAGCCTCCTGTTAGCCCTTGCTAACGACAAACGATGTATGTCGTTCATAAGCACTGTGATCCATTGCAGTTCATTGTTACGCTGCCTTCAAATCAGCAATGACTGAATTGACTTTTATGTTCCTTTCAACCTTTCGTTCGGGAGTTCAGTAGCTAATATCTGTACACCTCTTTAGTTCTATTTGTAATCTTTTGTCATAAATCTGTGATAAGTCACACATAGTGCCTTTCAGTTCCATCATCCACACATGCCAGTGATATGATACTTCAGCCAGAGAGATATTATGGCAATGTCCATCTGCCACGCGATGGACATTGCATTACCATTTGCCTATCAATGCCGTGGCGCGTTGCCATACACTTCAGTGATGGTGGTTCCACCCAGCATCGCTTACACTCCCAGCAAAAGGTAATTTTCCCAAGGAAAAAATGATTACATTTAATGCATTTTTAATCAAAAATGCTCATTTAATGCTGCATAATGCTGATTTAATGCTGATTTAATGCTGATCAAATGCATTTTCAATCATTTTTTGCTCTAAATGTATTCATGTTTTCCTTGGGAAAATTACTTTATGCTGGTAGTGTTAACCCTGCTGAACCCAAACCAGGCAGGCAGTAAAGAAGCCGCGGTAATAACCCTTGGCCTTGTACACACAGGGGCCGCGCTGGGCTTCTGCAACCCATCAAAATCAGCACAGTTATGTCAAAACGACTGCGATACGCCGCGCTGATGTTGGATGAGAACTCTGCCACTTACACTTACCTACCACAAAGCACTACAAAAGGCCCATCATGGTCCGTCAACCAGGTGAAAATGTCCTTTCTCATCCTCTCATCTCATTATCCTCTTTTTCTTTGTTTGATTACCTGCCTGATACCATAACTTTGTATTTGCCTGGAGTCGAGTGAGTATATTTGTCAAATCTAACAAACACCTGTCACCATGTATCCCTATAATCGCGGCGTTTCCGAGCGTTACCAAAGGCTCCTTAACCGTACGTACTAACCAGTTGTTATGGTGCATGCTGGAACTGATCTGAACCACATCATCACCAGGACGGTTTCTGTCAGCCTCAAAATATATTACTCCAACACCCCTCTTACCTCATGGTGCGTTCATTTCCTCCCACTACTCTTAGTCTGGAATTTCCACACCACACTTACTTTTGGTGGACTCATAAGTCCCAGACCCACGCCCCAAGGCCACAGCAATCACCCGCGAAAATCTTGGCAAAGGCAAGCTTCCTTGGGAAACACTTGCCGCAGACGCAGACGCAGACTCGCTTGTTCTTTCGATCTCCCACGAGGGGAAAAGCCATTATGTTTGTAAACCTCATTCCGCAAAGGTCATCATCGATTTTTCACATGAAGTTCCCAATTCCTATTGGGACTTCAGGGCAACTTACCCAGCGGTGATTCAACGGCCCAACAAGGAAGAGGTGCGAGTGCAAGTGCGCTCGTACCACTTGATTGATTCTCCCGACATGTACCAATGTATCAGCCAACAATCTTACTATACGGCAGTCATGCTCGACCTCTTCAAGAACAAGATGACAAGCTTTTCAAGTAAACTCACTGTTCCAGAGCTTCGCATGATACCCACAGTTTGGGTCAGAGTCATTTTCCTTGCCAGTAATCATGCTGTATACTAATTGATGACTCATTGATGACTGCTTATTGGCGATACTTTGCTCTACAGATGAGCGAGAATCATGTCCTGGTGCAAGGTGATAGATCATTCACCTTGCAAGAAGAGATTTCCCATGATTCTCTGACAACCACTTCAGATATCGATTACTTACCTCCACAACATGAAGGGAACAACACCCTTGTAGACTTTCTATACGCGTTTACCCACTTTAACTATGAGCATCACAAGGGAACTGCTGTCATTCATGGATTTCGTGCAAGTGGAAATGTCATCTTTGAGTGTGTAATGGTCGATAAGAAGTCAGTCATTGTGTTACAAATGATTCACCCGGAAGATTGCTCACCCTGAGTTACTTCGCAGATTCCCCTGGTGGGCGGAGTGCAGCCCAACCAGAATCAGTGATTTTGAATCCGAACACGATTGCCGAAGCCTTTGTACTCGTCTGGGTTTACGTCCCGTTTCATCTGGTGGTGGATTGCCCCACAACGTGAAATGAAGCACAATGAGGCAGTTTATCGCATGAAGATGGTCATCTAGTGTGGCCCCACCTGTAAATAGTGTTCCATATGCCAAGCAAAGGTTGTGCTTTCTCCTTCTGCTGACATCTGTAAAATGAATGGTATATCCTACATACGTGTACATCAACACTCTGTAGAATGTCAATGGCCATCCACATTGATTTATGTGATGCCTAATACTATGCTTCATATATACCTTTGGTCTGAATGTTTGTAAAGCATTTAATGTCTCTCACTCACTCATTGAGAATGTGTTTTTCCATATCAATGTGTGAAGCGGTGAGCAACAACATTCAAAAAACTTGGTACCTTGAGAATAAAGGGTACCACCAGGTGGTCAAATCACATCAATGACACATATGTTTTCTTTTCATCAGCTTTCTGATGATGTTTTATTTCAATGAAAGTGTATATAAATGATGTTACTTTTGCTGATTAATCACTTTAGTACTTATTGTATGCATCAAAGACTAACCACTTGCTTATTTGGACCATGTACACATGGTCCAAATAACCTTTGCTGAGGTAATTGGCAACTTACTATAATTAATCTAACATATAATAATGCTTTTGCCAACCAGAATATTACGGCCCAGTTCTTTGGACAAACCAAGCATTAAAGATGAAGTGTCATTCCTCTTGTCCTCCGGTGGAATTAGAAACCAGCAAAAGAGAGCCAGTGGAATAAGAGTGAAGTCCAGAGTAAAGTAATGGGTTTCATTTGTTTATATTAGGTCATATTGGAATGATTCTAATGGGTTCCAACACCAAAATTGATTTTTATGTATACTGCAGTGTGATGATGTTATCATATGTTATCATCAATAACATCATCAATGAGATAATGATACATTTTAGCCAGATGTTGCAATCATCTTATTCTTATTCCTCATCATTGAATGCCATAATACATCATGGCATTCATGCTCACATTTGTTTGAGTTCTCTCATTGAAGAGATCTGGTGTACAATGACAGTGCGCTTGCGGTAGGCATGTGGAAGTGAGACTCAATGCTAAGAAACCATTGAAGAATCATTACATTAAGATACACCACATTGCATTTAGCATCTTACATTTGGGAAGACCACACCCATGATATCATTGGAATATTGCAAATTCTCCCGCGTGGGAACAGATTAACATCAAGCATATATATTGGTGTTGTTGATTGTCTTCCTTCCTATATTGTGATTTTTGATGAGGCATTATGGTAATGATAGTGTATTTTATGAGACCTCAGCCCTTTGCTAGTGTGTACAGCAAAGCTCTATTTGAAATAATGTAACCATTGGACTTGTATATATATTGATATCATTGGAACATTGCAAATGCTCCTGCGTGGGGACAGCATGTGGGATCAGCAGGGTTAATTAACATCAAGCATATCAAGCATATATATTGGTGTTGTTGATGGTCTTCCTTCCTACATGGTGTTTCATTTGGAGGCATTGCGGTAATGATAGTGCATTTTATGAGTCCTCAGCCCTGTGCTATCTTTGATTCTAATTGGTTTCACTTCTTCGTTCAAAAAAATATTGTAACTATCTTCAATAAATTAAGTTTGGCAAAAGCGTGGTTGCAAAATCCCCAATACACACCAGCATGAAACAAGGCCACATGCAGGGATTGAACCCAGGTACCACAGGTATACTAGTCGACAGTATAGCACGAGTGCTGGCCGTACACACCAGTATACAGACCATGGCCACACCCAGGAATTGAACCCAGGCACCATGGGTATACCGGTCGACAGTATGGCATGAGTGCTTGCCGTACACACCAGTATACATCAGTCAAGAGCATATACCACTACACCATGACACATTAAAATTACCTGGCCACGTGATTTTGTTTGGTCAAATCACATCAATGACACACATTTTTTTTTTTCATTAGCTTTCTGATGATGTTTTATTTCATCACCTGTCTGTATGAAAGTGTATATAAATGATGTTACTTTTGCTGATTAATCACTTTGTATGCATCAAGGACTAACCACTTGCTTATTTGGACCATGTACACATGGTCCAAATAACCTTTGCTGAGGTAATTGGCAACTTACTATAATTAATCTAACATATAATAATGCTTTTGCCAACCAGAATATTACGGCCCAGTTCTTCGGACAAACCAAGCATTAAAGACGAAGTGTCATTCAACATGAATGCAAGCATTCATATATTTGGTGTTAAACATAAACATCATTGGCCCCTGGGCATGGTGATGATTCATACTCACTCACTGGTGACATTTCCCAGTGCCCTACCGTTCAGCACGTGGCTCTCAACTAGGGATGCACATGAACTAGATGTACTCCACACAAATCAATGAATGAATGATTTCACCACATAGGTAAAATAATATCACTTATGGTTTGTCCAAAGTGGTATCTAATGTATATCCAGACCAACCCAAACAATGTTTTGGCAATGAGCAGGAAATGTAACAACACCAGAGTAAGTACTTACACCTTGCTCTTCCCCCTGGCTACCAACCTAACCTTGATACCTTTTTAGGTATCACAAAGACCTCAGGGCCAGAAATTGTTGTTTTATATATGTGTATATATATGTATATGTATTTATATACTGAAACTGGTATTGTGGATCTTTTTGACCCACTTGCACAACAATCCCGCTGACCAACAGAACAGTCTGTGGGTTGGAAGGTTTTACAAGTTTGAGTGACGTTACAAAAATGGGAACCACCAATTATGACTTACTTTAAAATTGTTGTGGATTCCACAAAGCGCGGAGGGATTTCCATGGTTGGCAATCCCCAGAAAAAACACGTACATGACGGTTTTCATTACCAATGAATATTGGTGGCAGCAGCCACAAACAAATCTGCAGCGGCAAAGCATATATATCTTTTTTGAAAGGTATATATATGCTTGTTGATGCTTGCCATATTGGTGATCACAATTTCACAGTGCCCCATGTATCATGCCGCCATAGGATATCCATTTGAGTATCAAAACTGCGAAATGCACCTATGGCAGTGTAGAAATGCAAGTGGCTTATGCTTTGACTTATCCATGTTTTGTTATCTCGCCACATGTGGTGTGCACACAAGTTAGTTGTTCACTTGATCCTAACCAAGTATGGCCAAAGCAATCTGCTAAGTATATATGTACAACCATCAATCACTCTGCCAAGCTAAACTCAGTCTGCAAATGATAGTTGTAAATATCACCATTGGTCCAACCCAATCTTCTGTATGGTATGATTTATCAATCATACATGTGTGATTGGGTTGGACCTTCACATTGTTTGTATTTATTTGGATCAATGTTTTACATTGGATTGTAGATATATTCATATCTATCATCTTGTGTCAGAGTCAGACTTATTTCAAAGCAATAATCTAACAATTTTTGTATTCATATTCATATCTATCATCTTGTGTCAGACAAATTGACAAGCACCAAACTAACATCATTTGTATTCAGATTCATGTCTTTCATCTTATGTCATACAAATTTCAAAGCCCCAAACTAACTTCATAAGAGAGACTTGTTGTGTTAGTTATATCTTCACACAAACAACACATGAACAAAAAATCCTTGGGCACTTATAGGAGGGCCCCCTCACCAAGAAACTCCATACCTTGTCGCATTGCCAACTTTTTACTCAGCCAAGTATTTCGCAAATAGACCATCTCTTCCAAAAATAGATTGTAAACCAAGGACGACATATTCCGGCACATCGAAGCAAAACCACCATACCATATGTTGGTTATTTTGGCCGCGGATGCGTTGAAAATCCATTTACCATCCTCTTGAATGTCCGGAAAGAGTTTTGGGTCGGTAAATTGTTTACAAAATTGGTCTGTTGCGGCGTGGGAGCGGTGGTGGAAGGGGTCAACCGGTATAACGGTTCCCTTGAAACGGGAAGGGTCTGAGTCCCCGGTGTAGATGTGTTCCGTCAATCTACACGCATTATCGTAGAATACCACTTCGGGCATCCCCTGCGGGAAGGTTTCTTCAAGGAAGTCCTGAAGGACGTTGAGGGTGATCCATTAGAACGTAGTCATCATGTTAATATGATGAAGAAATATTGGATATGAGTTAGTTGAAAATCAGAGGCCAGTCGAAAACAACACGTTAATCAATATGAATGTAAATCTTTGCAAAAGATGGAGGGATGGTCAACTGACTCTGACAGCGCTGACCGATTCAGCGTGATAGAACGTTTTCCGCGCTAAAATGATGCCACACGGTCCCACAATGAGCTGATCATTGTGGGTGCGGCTCCGTGATAAGACATATTTCCCGGCCGCCTGTGATTCACCTCCATCTCGCGCTGCTTCGTGTGCTCTTTGGGATTTGTCGGCGTGTTGCAAGCTAGCCAGGTCTTCGAATTGACCAGTTTCAGCATTTAGATGGGGCGTGGGATCCGGGTGGAGGTTGGATCCGGGTCGGTTCAGAATCACAGTGAGGGAGAAGTTTCCTTGGATGCGCTTGTTAAAACTGGACCATGCTTTGATGTGGTCCGGGTCATCACAAGTTTCACTATCAGGAGCCGAGGGTTTTGGGCAAGGTTGGGCTCGGCAGCGTTGGCCCAGGATTGCATAGTGATCCGGGCAAAAGCGATCATTGACGTTCGCAAGCGGTTGGGTGCAAGGACCTTCGGGTGATGGTTGTCCTAAACGTTCAGCGAGCTCTCGCAGTTGGCCTGACGATGCACTGCACCGCCAGTGCCCAATCGTGAGCCCATCCGTGACCACAGCACGTATGGCTGCGGTGTGAGAGCACAGCGGTCAGCAAGCAGGTAGTTATGGGAGAGGATATAGTCCATTTTGTGATATAATGATCACCAAATGGAATTGAATATACGTACACTTGTAATATGCTTCCCCGGAGACTGGGTCTACGCCATCTGGTAAGAAACGGACACAAGAGGAGCAATAATGGTCGCAATACTTCGAGCCTTCGATGAGCAGTTGGTCGAGGTGAGATTTGATTGCAGACTCGAAGCGAATGTTGTCGGTGCCACTGGAGCTGACCACCAGCTGGGTTCCTCTTCGATCCGCATGCTTCATTAATGAGTGGAGCATCAGACCGTTCCGACACTCCTCTTCGGACATCGACGTGGTAAACAATTGACCCGGTGTGAAATTGGCTGGAGGTGTGTCGTCGACAAATATCATGTTGTACCAATTTACCAGGTTGAAATGAGAGACACTGCAGCAAGTCAAATTCAGTTTCTGGAGATTCTATTGAGAAATAACTTGGAAGCCTTACTGGCCTAACATCTGCAATACCCGGAACGTGTAGGACAAACGTTGACTCATGTAGTAATGAGTGTTGATGTGGAGGTAATCTCGATCGCGTCCCATTGCCTCGGTGTAGTAGAACCAACACCCATCTTGGCTGTAATAACTGGGACGGTATACAGTGGTGCACTTTGGGTCTGATATCTGTGAGGTCAGTAAACAGGAGAGCACGATGACAATGGGACCCCACTTACTTGAGCAGTTGAGAACAATGGTTTGAACCGTGTGGACCCCGTCGAGGTCGTGAAGATAACCATTGACGCAGGAGTGAACATGTAAGGGGTAGGAATGGTTGGGTGTGCATACAATACAATGTGACAAAGGTGAACGTAGGAATTGTTCAGGTAACTTGGGGGTCAAATCCTCTTGAGTACCAAACTCGCGGATCAAGGTGTCGGTATTGATTCGGCACATCGGTAAAAGGGGGAATAATAGTCGCCATAAGTCGCCTGTAAGTTGTTTGGGGAATTGAACGGATAGAGCTGCATCCAGGAAGGTTGACAAAGGTAATCGAGTGGCTGTGAGACGTAAGGAAGCGCCTGCGCGATGTTTGACTTCGGCGGCAAGAGATGTGAACCGGACGAAGTCTGCGACAGTAAGTGTTGCAGACAGATGAGGCGATTGAGTGATGAGGTGAAGGGTGAAATCACGGAGAAGCATCTTGGATGCTGACGTGCGTTGACAAAGGGCTGTGAATGAAGAGGTGAGTTCAGTGGTGGAGTCACGTTGATGGTGTATGGTCATGGTCAGCTCAGTAAGTTCCGTGATTGGGGAATGACAGATGTCACCTCCTTAGACATGCATGGCCCACAATCGGGCCAGGCCTTTGGTAGGTGTCCATTAATTGGACAAAAGGTTTTGTCAGCGTAAAGGTAAGTCATCAGTATGAGAATGTGGTTGCGAGCTTACATACCCGACGTGTTCTTCGCGCCTCGTTATAAGCCCATGACGCATGGGTTCTGGAGGGTTTACCACGGTTATCAGAGAATTATCAGGGCCCCCCCCGCTTCTTCGGTTTACTCACCCAATTCCCACCTTCAAGTTCAAAACTAAGCTTAACCTAAATCCGTAATCCAAACCCACCAAATAAGTTGATTTATCACATCTAAACCTGAACAAAAGATGTCCCAATCATTCTTCATAGAACAAAAAAAAGCAATCCATTACAAAAAAAAACAATTGAGTTATAAAACTCAATCCATCACTTCAAATCAAATCCAAAACAAAAATAAAGTCCAAATCTTAATCACAAAAACGAAAGACAACAAACGAACGAACAAATGAATGAATGTTAAACAAAACTAAAACAAACTTTTTTCAAAAATAAACTCACTACACAAAAAAACCCCATAATGATAAATATAAAAGAAACCTAAAAGTACAAATCCGTTTGTTTTTTAGATAAAAAGAACAACAAAAAAAAATCAAAGTCATACACATGAATGATTTTTGATTGTAAAACAAATAATGTATAAATGAAAGACGAATGAAATGCGAAAGTAAAGAATTGAAACACTTCAAACACCAAATGATCCAGCACTAAAAACTTATCATACCAGGACCAAACACGAAATCAAAAAAGAGAAAAAGATTGATAACTAGAAATACAAAAGCGAAAAAAAAAATCAGAGAAAGATCCAGAAGAAAAGAGAAAAGAGAAAACCCAAAGAATCCAATATTCCAAAAAAAAAGCTCAAAGCTCGGTCCATCCATCCATCCATTTTTGATCATCTCCTTTCACCAATCCACCCCAAGTAATTCTTGACCCGATGTACTTTGTTCTAATCCATCAAGACATCTAGAAGCCCAATCATCCGATCTAAGTCTAGCATTAATAGCCAAAGGATGTGCCATTCGTTTAGAAGGTAAAGAGACCATCTGAGCCGAAGTAAATGGTCTTTGATATCTTGAGCTTTCAGATTGTGATAAAGACCGATTACTAATCACTCGTCTTGGATGTTCAAGAAAAGCTCTAGGATCAAGAATAGCTTCGCCACCAACCGAATGAGATCCAGAAGCCGCTGCATTAGCAGTAGAAGGTCGTACGATCCGATTCGTTGGATTACCAATCATCGCTTTCTTTTGAACTTTACCATCATCAGCTGTATGCGGTCGACGTGGAGGAAGAAGACTGTTTCTTAAAAGTTGAGAATGTTTGGTGATGCCTCCGGCTTTGAGTGGTGATCCTAAAGCAGGTGGTAGACGTAGAGGTGAATAAGCCGGAGCTGCCACACCATCAGAATCAGGGCTTCTCCAGGTAGATCCGATTGGAGAAAAGTCGTTGTTGTCAGAAGGCGATCGTACTGATTCAGATAATGCATTATCAGGGAATTCGTTTCGGAATTGAATGTCGATTTGATCGGTGGTACGTTGAGGAATAGGCTTGGCAGAGATTTCGTCAAAGAGAGTTTGTTGAAGTGATGAAAGATTTGAATCCATAGTCATCGCACTCATACCGCTTGCCCGTCTACGTCCTAATTTACCTTCGTGTGGTACCGGTGCAGCCCTCATATCTTCATATCGTAACATCAAATCGGTGTGAATATCATCATACTCGTCGTTGACAGTGATATTAGGTTCCTTCTGTACAAGAGCGTGTTCTGGCCTACTCAAACTAGTCATCATTTGATCCATACAAGGTGTTTTTCGATCTTGAGGAGAAGTAAGGTAAGGATGAAGACTTTCGACTGGCACATGATACCGTTTAATCAAATCCGATCGACATTCTTTGGCAAATTTACGTGCATTGTTTCCTTTCAATAACATCATTTGACTCTTGGCAAAAAAACTATAAGGCATAAACGTAAACGTCGGCATAGGTTCTAAAGTTTGATACGTTCCTGAAACTTCATGTGGGATAGCCAAACCAGGTAATTCGTGTCCATGTCTCACAGGTGCCGGAAAAGCTGCATGAAAAATCACCATACTAGCCGTACTCGTCGAATCGTCATCGGATGAAGGCACTTCTACTATTTCAGCAGAGAGAAATGATTTTTCCGAAAGCTTGGCAAACATACTAAGATTGTTAATCATAGCATCAATAGCGAGAATAAGACTAGACTTGAAGATCCACATATCTTCAGCTTGTCTTCCAGGCATATGAACATCCTTGTTGACTTCCTTCAAACAGAATTCACCAATCTCCTTCATTGATCGACCAGACATTGAAACAATCCAAGCTCTCATTTCCTCAGTAATGACTTCAACATCAGGTAATCGGTATGCAGGGATTTGATGACGAGCAAATTGATAGACCAAAGTATCGATGCCTCCTTGTCTTGAGATAGAAGGTCTAACAGCAAAGAAACCAACATAACTACCACCACTCCTAACACATGGTTTCATCCCACGTCTAGCATAAAGCTTAAGGTGTTCTAATAATCCATCGATTTCGATCTTCGGAACCCCAGCTCGATCAGCAAGAATAGGAGAAAGCCATCTAGGGTCAGCAAAACGAAAGCCACGTCGAAGATAACTATCCGTTGAATCTTGTTCAGTATTAACCAATTCCCTAACCAAGAATAACATGATCCCTTGTTGACGTTGAGCAGGAGCAGCAACACTAAACATTGAAGACTCTTCATCATTTCGAATCAATCGACCATTCTTAGAATCCGGAGAAGGAGGTACCACCCGAGTACCCGTACGTAAGACAGTATCGAATAAAACACCCATGCTAGACATTGGCACGCCCACTAAGTTACTCAAGATTTGAGTAGCTTCAAGACAACGATCTTTGAATAAAGTGATCTGGGCTGCGCTTTTGGATGAAGCATCAGATGTTCCAGGAACTTTCTTCTGACCGAAATTGATTCCATGCCATCCTTTACTTTCTTTGCCTTCTAAACCAAGAGATCTAGCCACGATACGAGGAATGAATGGATCGATGATGGACCAATCACATGAAAGAGCATAGAGCCATTGAAAGGTAGGTTGACGGATATTGAGCTCTTGAGTGATATCCTACAAAGAAAATCAAGATCAAGCTTAGAAAACGTAACTGGGCTTGAATCTGATGGATGACTTACTTTCAGTGGTAAATCAGATTCAACCTCACTCATAGGTAACATACCATCCAAGTTGACTAAAACCCTACCAGTTTTATCAAAGATGACTGAAGCAATCGCCACCCGTCGAGCTTTTCTTCGTGATTCACGTGTGACGAGGAAATCAGAAAGAGTGATCATAAGAGATATGATACAAACACCAAAGCACATGATCGAGATAGCTGATGGACATTGAGAATAATGATAAATATCAGCATCGTGAACTCTTAATGGTGAGAGAATGAATCAAAAATAAGCTTACCAATAGTCAACACCGTAGAACTTTTTGCACCCAACGAGAATCCTTCAACTCTATCCGCAGGCACATACCATTGAGTACCAGATAAACCCAAGTCTAATTGAACAAAAAAGCGAACAATCAGATCAACATGAAACAACCAAAGCCTAAGAAGAAATCAAACTGACAATGCATGCCACAAACTCCAGTCGACAATAAGATGGCACACAACAAACGTTTCCACCAATTATGTTGCCATTGTGATTGAAACCTAAAGTAGAAAAGAATCCAATCAATCCAACGTTTTCAAAACCCTAAGATAATATTCCTAACCCGAAAGATCACTAACCTAAAGAAAACCACTAAAGCAGCAGTCGATGCAAAACAAGCCAATACAATAGACGAAGCTAATTTACTTGCGGTATATTCTCTTCTAAAAGAAGCATGAAACCCAGCAGCTATAGAAAAAGAAATCATCAAAAGACAAAGTCAGATAAGAAGTCAGTGACTGTACCATCACACAATCAACAATGATGACTAACAGTAATGCATAAGTGCCACAGTTCCACCGACCAATATACCACCGATAAGTAAACGCATGTTGATAAAACTAAAGATCGGTTTGAAGAAAGCAATAATAGGACTCGATCGTTTTCGGTTGTTTAAAGGTATTTCAAGATCTACATCTAGATCACGTTTATGATCTGAAACTTCTTCTTCATCTTCAAATGGAAGTGCTTCTGGACCAGTTCCAACAAACACAAAAGCCATTGTAAGAGCTAACATGGGTACGAAGAGTGAAAGGATGGTAAAACCAGGATTGACTAGATTTCCCAAGGAGAAGATGATAAGGTATTAGTTTGTATTTAAACCATAAGAATAAAGAAGATCTAATCAAATGAACTTGCATTGGATATACCATGAAACTTCTGGGCTAGGTTGTAAGACCATATTCATTCCGATAAAGTGCATGCCCCAAATCCCACTACACGATCCAAAAAACAAAAAGAAAAAGTCAACTAAAGAAATGAATCCAATCAAACATAAAACTTAACATACACACTAGCCATGGTAATAGAAGCAAGAAAAAGCAACATCCAATTCCTCAAACCAGAATTAGCAGTTCGACGACCAAGCAAAAGAAGTGTAGTAGCAGCACCTAAGATAGAAACCAAGATCGAAGCAATTACGACTCCAGAATTGAAACTATGAGGTATTGGATGAGTTTGATAATAAATAGCTAATGCACGAAGATCATTAGGATCAAAGCTTTGAGGTGTTGAAGCCATCATTGGCTGAGTTAAGACTTCAAGAGACTTTGAAAGTCAGGAATAAGATAGACGAAGAACTATGGAAAGAATCTGCAAATTGAACTTTTCAAAGTCGAACGTAAACCTCGCATTTACTGAGGGAGAGAGAGATAGAGAGAGAAGGAGATAAGAAGTTTTGAGGGATAAAGATTTAGAGATAGAGAACGAAATCCGATTCATCTTCAAGAGCTTTGTCCTTTTAATTGTCCTGGAATCATAATTTTCAAAATGAGTGAAGAGTTCCGAAAAAACCAGGTGGAGAAAAAAAACTCAGGGCAATCGAGCGGGATGGGTGACGATAAGCATCGTAGAAGATGTATAACATTAAAAAAACAGGTAAAGGCTTTTCGTGTTGACCAAGTGAGTGTTCTTGAGATTTGAAGACCTTACAAATCAGCTGATCACTTGCATTTCGATCTCAAAAGGGCTCATTCCCTTCAGGTTCCTGCAAGCTTCGAGTTTCCTTGATAAAAATCCAACAAGACCGTTCCAAAGGTTTGTAAACAAACTGACTGATCGATTTGTATGTCCAGCTTCAGCCATCATGAGAAGATCACTTGTATTTGTGATCAATGATAATTTGCATGATATTATGTTTTGATGAATGGGCCTCGTCCTTCGATAATACCTTTAGAGGTGTCTGTACATACATAATGATCATGTGAAGGATTGGATTTTCTTGATCGATGAGAATGAGATTGTTGGATATATAATTGAATCAGTGAACCTCTGATAATGAAAAAATGTAGAAACATCCCTTCTTCAACGTACATGGCTCAGAAAACCTGGATATCAAGAGACCGATGCGGATTTCCTATTTGAATTCGAAATGATGAACATGCCTTCCAAAGTACTGCTCTGCCAGGCTCAGTATGACTTCATGAGACGGGTTTTGCATTTGTCGAAACTTGAAAGGCCTATGATGAGTGACTTTGATCTCAGACTCTTGACCACTTCAAGTATGATTCTTGGAAAGTTTTAATCGAATTGCGATTCAGGGATATCCCCTTACCTCTCCGTATCCAAATCGAACACTCCAAGCAATCATGATCTATCATTTTGACTTGCCGTAATAAGAAATCAAGAAGTTCAAATCATTTCGATTAAGATGATTCGAATCAGCTCCAGAAGCCCTTTGCCACACCCCTCCCTCTTGATGATTTGAGCTGATGATGCAGATAAAGAACCGATTGGGTTATGTTACGTTTGATGAATTGGTGCAATTGACAATTTTAGTAATTCTTTGAAGAGTTGACTAATCGATGATCGAGATCCAAATCCAATTTACCAATTGACTAATTTCTTCGATTGATCACGTCATTTTCAATCTCAACTCTTATATAAAACGAACCTTCCTATCGACCGTTTCATGATTCATCCCACCAGATAACTTTTCATCCTTCAAACCAAACTAGAAACCAAGAAACCATTGATAATAAGCCCATTAAACTAGAAGCAAATCTACATTTAACAAAAATGACCCAAATTCTAAGACTAGGCTCAACCGCCCCAGATTTCCAAGCCCAAACCACCCAAGGCCCTATCCACTTCCACGACTTTATCAAATCAAGTTGGACGATTCTATTTTCACATCCATCTGATTTCACACCAGTTTGTACCACCGAATTAGGTGAAGTAGCCAAACGATTAAAAGATTTTCAAAACCTTTCTACAAAAGTGATCGGATTGAGTTGTAATGAATTGAATGATCATCATAGATGGGTTGAAGAGTTGAGTTTCCTAATCTACTTATCATGTCTCATTTTACTCACTCTTTTCACCTTTTTCTTCGTTATATAGTATTAATCGAGTTAATTCTTGTGAAGTTACTTTTCCAATTATTGCTGATCCGACTCGAGAAATCGCAACCTTATATCAAATGTTAGACGAACAAGACCTAACGAACCAAGACTCCAAAGGGATTCCCTTTGTAAGTTTCTCTTTCTCTCTCTCTCTCAAAAACCAAATTCTAACCTTCACACCTCATCATCTTGGTAGACCGTTAGATCAGTCTTCATAATAGATCCCAAAAAATCCATCCGATTAATCTTACAATACCCAGCCTCAACAGGTCGTCAATTCGATGAAATCTTAAGATGTTTAAAATCTTTACAACTTTCTGATCAATTCTCAATCACTACTCCTGCCAATTGGATTCCAGGTGAAAAAGTTATTGTACATCCTTCTATCTCTGATCAAGAAGCTGAAAAAAAGTTTACCAATGGTATCGATTATAAACTTCTTATTTAAGATTAACTGAACTTTAGTTCCTCATGTCTTAGCTTTCTCACTTAAGATGTTGGTGCTTTTTGTTTGGTTTTTTGTATGATCATCTCTGCGTTACTTTTTTTGTATTGTTTCTTTTTCGTGTTTGATTGTATTTGATCAATTCAACAAATCCAAGTCTAGTGAAAAAAATGATTCCTTTTATATCACTTTAACACAAACGAAACCGATTTATATAAACAAGAATATGAACCCAAAGTTTTCCCATTCCTATTCCAAACCAAGAGAAAAAACTCAATTGAGATATGTTAAGAAGTTGTACTTGAATGAGATTTTGACTTCGATTTGGCTTTCTTGCTTGATGGAATCGGCTTTGAGGTTTCAAGTTGGATGGATTCTAGTGAAATATACTTTCGTTTCTTTTCTTTTGATTTTGGTTTTTTCTCTTTAGGATTCAAGGTTTCAGTTGGAATTGATTCTTTGATTGGCGCTTCTGGTTTGGGTTTTGACTCTGGTACTGGTGCTGGGTTTGAATCGGATGTGGATTGAGAATCATCAGTTGGTTTTGATTTTGATTTTGATTTGGATGGTTTTGTATTTGATTCAAGTTTGGATTCCGATTTCGATTTTGATTTTGGTTCGATTTCAAGTTCAGTTTGAGTTTCTAGAAAAAACAAAGTCAACATCAGAAGCCATCAATGCATATAAGTTCAAAGAAAAAAAGCATAAAACTCACTCAATGGTTCAACTTTTGTTTCCTGAGGTTTAGTTGAATTGAAAGTTTCATTCCGATCTTGATTTGATGGTCTTGATCCATTCAAATTGGCATCAGACTTCTTGACTACATTTCATTCATCACTTCAGTACTTCTTTTCACAACTTTCGAATCCCAAGAAATCTTACTCAACTATGACTTTCTGTGTTTCGATTAAAAGTTTGTTTCGATTGATTGGCTTTAATTTTAGGTTCCTTTGGTCCTTTAGGTCCTTTATAAACCCTATTCCAAAAAGAAAACAAAACCAAGAAGATACATATCAACGGTTGAGATTTCTATAAGTTTTGGAAAGATGAGTTTCTTACGACTTTTCAAATTTTTCGGCTTCTGTTATACATGATGTATGGGATTTCCATGTAGATGAATCTCTAAAAGTTATGGAACAATCTAAACAAGTAAAACTTGATTGACATCTATATGAATGTGAATCTAACTTTTTTTCAAAACAAAAAAAAACAAAAAAAAAAAATGTTTAGTTTCTGTTTTTTTTGTTTGGAAAAGGGGTTTGAATGAGTTGGTTTCATTACTTTTGGTTTTTTAATTCTTTTGGTAAAAGGATATACGGTTTTTTCATCAGTTTGGATATCACAAAAGGTTATAGACCTTGATTTTCTTTACTTACACATCACCACAGCTTTTTGCGTGAAAAACATCCAAAACAAAAAGAAATACATCGATTCTCATCAGTCAATGGTTGCTTTAAATCTTTACACCAAAGAAAGTAATGATGAATTCACAAAAATACGACTTACCCATCGCAATTGAAACTTGGCATGTCTCGTTTTTTTACGTCAATCGATTTAAGTTGTGATTTGATGTGTTGGGTGTTTTGAAAGTTTCTTCATGAGTTCACATTTTGTTGAGAAGTTGGAAGCGATTGTTGCCAAAAAAATTGTTACATGTGAAGGCGGGATGTAAGATGTATGTAAGCTTACATGTTCATGAACGCTGCGGAACCCACAACCAGGCCGAAACCAAAGTTTCCTCAACTCTCAAAAACTCGATCGCTTGCTCAGCATTTTCTTCAACCGATCATCCAAGATGTAGTTAACAGGTAAGAACTCGACACTCCTCTCACTTTATCTCATTTCATTCTCTCTATGTACCATCTGATGAATCAAAATAGAATGAATGAACAATCCAACTCCTAAAAAAATCATGCTCGAACAGACCTTTTAAAGAGTTTGAAGCGAGCTTGAGGACAAATCTACACTTGAACTGATCTTCTATCTCAAACCCAAACCTTCAATTTCATCCCAACCATACCTCTAAAACTGATTTGCTTTTCATTTCTACTAGCTTCACTTTCGAAAAATGATCGCTTCACAACAACAATGGACGAACGAAGTTTGTGTAAGTTTAGGGTTTTTCGAAATCTTTTTTCTTTCTTTTAAAGGATGATCCAACATATCGATTAGTCTTTCGTAATTAGAATTTCTAAATTATTGACGAAACAAAAGCTTTTAAGTTTCAGCCTTGTCTGATCTACTCAAATTCATCTCCAATACATTTTACAAAGAAACGTTGAATCAGAAAACCAAATTGACTTCTTTGTTTTTCTCTTACCAGATCTCAACGAACCCTACCCTCGAGACCGATGAAGCTCAATACCCAAAGGTTAATCTCCTTTTCCAAATCTCTAGTTTTCTTTATTTTTCCTTTTTCCTTTTTTTTCTTCGGTTCAAATGATGAAATCTTCTACGACGGGCGGACTGAAGAAAAACACCAAACCATAAAGGCAGGACGTACAAACCTAGCTGGGTGTTTTGATTTGTTGAAATTTATTTGAATCGTATTTCTGATTCCAAACCAAAAAGAAAAGAAAACAAAATCTATGATAAACTCTGATTGATCGATCCCATGATTTGAGAGATTATTGACTGAATCGTTTCTTGTTGTTTTTTGTTGTCTTTTTAGGTATTTGTGGTATTCTGTAAGATTGGTAAGTAGTCTTGAACTTGTTTCGTTTTTCAAATTTGATTTCTTTCTCTTTCTTTTACTTTTGAATCATTTTCATATTTTCCAACCCATTGTCAACCGCGTTGGCAATTATATCAATGTAGCATTGTATATACATGCATGCTTGATTTCAATTTATTTCGGTTCTATATGGTTGAAATCGACCAGCAACTCGCATTCTGTGTATGAACATCAAGTTCTGAGCTGAGAAAGGGAGTCCATTCACCTGCTGTCAACGATTAATCCAGTGAGATCAACTCAGGGGGATGAGTTGCAATCCATATGAGCTCCATACACCTGAGCCAAAGAAAACAGTTGACCCAAGGTCCAATGTGAGGTCCATGGCATTGAACAACAAGAGTGATATTGAGTGGTTCTACACATCTTGACAACATCTCCCTACTGCAGGAATCAAGATGAGGTGTTCGTTTGAAGTACCCAAAGCCAGAAACGACAAATAATGAGGATAAATGCAAAATTATTCTTTGGAAGCAAAGAACATAATCATAAGATCCCTAAAAAAGCACAAGAATCAAGACACATGTGCTTGCTCTCATACTATAGCAAAGAGTAAAGATGTTTAGCCTACACATCCAGACCCTGACTTTGGTTGTAAGCTCTAACCCTTTAAAAAGTTAGTGCTTTGTTCAGTTAGCTATTGTACATGCGTTCATTCAAGAAAAGATGGCAAGAAATATATTGAAACCTAAACAAATAAATGTATGAAGACCAGGAAGATATTTGTTCAAAGTGTTTAGTCACCTGCATTTTTTCCAAAGTAATAGGTCATCCTCATGAGCCAATTTTGACGCTCTTTGTTTTCTGGAAAGAATTCTGTGTAGGGGTTTCTAGGCTTTGGAGTATGAATCAACTCAAAGAGGAGAGATGTCAGAGTTAATTGTACCCTAAAATTCTTTTTTGACTCTAAATATTACACATGTATTTCAAGCTGAGGCGTTTCGTCTTGACAGCTTATAAGATTTGGAGATCGATAAAATGGAGATAAGATTTGAAATAAAATGCTCAAACAACAAATCAAAGCTCAACATCATTTCAACATGGAATCCTTTCCTTTTCCAGGAATCACCGAAAACCGACCTTCAGCAAACCAACCAGGTTTAGCAGCATCAAGTACAGCTTGTTGTTTTGCTCTTTGTGCAGCTGGATCTACAAGTTCGAGTCCTTGAACCGGTGTAAAAACAAGTGAAGAAGATGTACCTGAAGTATTAAGTGAAGAACCAGAACCAGGTGTAGATCTTAAAGCAGCCAATCGATTCTTATTAGCTTTTGACATCTTAGCTTTCGTTCTACTTTCGCCTTGATTGACTCGAACCCTTCCAGAAGAACTTCCTAACATTCCTAAACCTTTAGTTTCATCAAACGATCCTACTTCTTCTTCTATTTCTCCAAATCTCAATCGATTTGTTAATTTCTTCAATTCGGTTTGAGCATGTGCTTCTTTTGCTTTACGTGCTCGTTTACCTCCTCGTCTTTTCTTTTGTCCTTCAGATGGGACTGGTAAAGCTTTGGTTAATTTCTGTGGTGGTGGTTCAGCTAACTTTTCTAATTTGATTTTGATTTCTTCTTTAAGTTTTAGACCATAGCTTCCGTCTAAAAATTGTCGACTATGATCCATACGAGTTGCAAGAACACATTTAGCTCCAATCGTTCGTTGTGCTTTCATTCGGAATTGTTCTTCGGTATTTCGAACCAGATCACATTGATAGATAAACCCAGTGTGAAGTTTCTGTTGGGAGTGCGTCGAATGAGCAGTAGAGAATCCAGTAGCCAGGTTTTTCTTCTGAGCACCTAACAGCTGTGATGCGTCGTAGATGAGTGGTGGCAAAAGAGAATTAACAAATGAGTCATATCTGCGGTAGTAGATCCAAGTGAACGTGACCGATGAAGATGCTTTGGTTGCTTACGTGAACGTTACAGGATGGCATCTTACTCAAGCCAGTAAGACCTCCCGCCACACCCATTAGTTTGGCAGCGGTTCGTGTACCCACAATAGCACTCAGATTAGGTGCCATTAGAGACATTCGTGATTCGACATATTCTAGGATCGTCTTCCTTGCATCTTCAAGTTCTTCAGCTACTGATACTGCCTTATCAACCCTTTTCCATTCTAGATCACTGAGCATTCGATCATCCGAAACTGTTGCTGCTTCGACAGTCACAATCATGGCCGTAGCAGAACTCAAAACATCTAATTGATCAAGAGATTTGGGTTTAGTTTTCATTTTCCAACGTACAGAAAAGAATAGAAATCAGGAGCATGTTCACTTACTTTCGAAACCACGAACAGAACTAAGCTGCTCAGTGTTACCAAATAGTCGAACAGCCCTTAGATACTCGTACGGGTTCGGTAAGAGTCGTTCAAGATTTGGGAAACGAGGAGCGTAATGATCTCTGATGTACTGTATGATGCAAATCAAGTTCCCCTCCCACTCAAAAACTAATCTTCGTATGATAGTAAGCCTAGGATACGATACCGAGTGAGATTTTAACGAACCTTGTGAACCACCATCACTTCGTTATCGATTTCGACAGCCAAATTATTCGCTTGTACAATCAATCGATATTCGGCTGATTCGTTGCTCATGCCTGTCTCATCTGATGGATTTTGAGTAAAATGTTCGATTTTCTAAAAAAAACTCAAGACGATTTCAATTTGAGATTTCTAAGGGTCTTCTGGGTTCATTGTGAGGTGGTGAATTTATAATCACTTACCGTCATCACATCCTTCAAAGTCCTACTACTCCAAAGTTTTGCAACTGATCCTACATCATGAATATCCATCAAATCCATCTTCTTCACATCATCCACATCCATTTCTTGAGCTGGTTCAGTTCCACCTTCAGGTAATCCAAGTTCTCCCATCCTAATCTTTTCCTTTTCTTCATCTTCTGAATCATCATCTTCATAAGCTCGTTTACTTGAAGAAGGTTGACCAGGATGAACGAAAGTGGTCTGATCGACTTCATCCTCTAAGCCTGAATCACCATCGAGGTCATTGAGTAATTCGTTTGCTAAATCCATCGTTGAAGAGTTGTATGTATGCTAAGAGAGTTCTGTTGTTACAAAGCGGGAGGGGAATTTCTCGTCCAGTGCGAACTGGAAGTCGACCAAGTTCCTGTAAATACTCGATCAAATGCCCATTTGGCCCCGCCGGGTCAAATTCCAGACGCGTTCGATCAACATCGAGGGAGTTGAGTTGTAATTTGAAACTTCAGCTTCAGTTTTTCACCTACCCAAGCTCATATTTCCGATCTTCTTCCTTATCAATCATTCCCTCTTCTCTTGAAGGATCTTTTGAGGAGAAAAGGCACTGGAGTGTACGATGCTCTAGCTCTTTCCATGTAGTCACAAGATTTCCTACTGTTGACATTGATAATCGAATAAGATAATCAGTAACGCTCGACTGGTGGGCAATTGTATCAACTTGTGCAGATAGAATCTGACTCTGAGCTCCGAAGGATACACCCAGTAACACAAATTGAGTCAAACTTGTTCACCAGTGACAAATTGAATCTCCGAAACAAAAAAACTTCCAAATTGGTGTAGAAAATCTTTGGAAGATATGACGAAAAAAATCGAAAATTTACCCAATTGATAAGGATAACTTGTGGCCAAGTTCATTGACAATTGTACCCGAGAAAAAGGTAGTAGTGGCAAAGGTGGAATAAAGGGCTACATTGGTTATTGAGACGCACGAGTGGAGAATGGCGGATTTCGTATATCAGCAATAGGGGAGCGTAACCGTATCAGTCTTTTTCTGAGACTAACTCGCTCTGAGACTATCCTGAGACAAACAAAAAAGTAAACCGGATGGTGGCTTTTTGTACACTGTCTGTACAGGCTGGTGGCAACTGGTACATATGTATGAAGACTTGAACAAATTCATCATTAAGACTTCAAAGAAGCTGTTAACACTTCGATAACCTCATCAAGAATCAAGAACCTTTGTCGAGTCATCCATGTGCACCTTATATCTATACCTTCAGACTCACTCCAATCCCCCTGAAACATTGTCAAGGGGGTTCTATCGCTACAACCACTTACATATCAAAGTATTGATAATGAAGCAACTTACAAAACAACAAAATGTTATTGGAACAAGCTACTTTGAATGAAAGTAGCAAGCAAAACCAATACAAGAAAAACAATGCATTGTCATCGGAGCGAGATACTTTGATGTAAGAGGTTTCTATCTGTTGCGTTGTCTTGATTTCTTCAAAAACGACTCAGTCGCCATCTTTTCAAACTGTCTCTTTGTATGTATAATCTTCACGAAAAGGACTCGATATCACTTCTTTTCAACCAACCTAAAATGCTTCCAACTTCTGCTTTTCAAGACATCTCATTTTGCATTTTATCAACTCGATCGTCTTTTGTATGTATTATTTTTGACCAATGAAATTGACCAATGGATGTCTAGATGTTCTGTAGTTGGTGGAAGGCTTATAAAGAGAAGGAAGCGCCATGCGAAAAAAAACGCGCCACACAGACCGGGATTGAACTATACCTGTATGTCTCACTGCTTCTCTCAGGTAGTCTCAGAGAAAGACTGATACCGCATCTCTCCCAGCAATAGTTCAACACAGTTCAAATTCAAGGCTTTCAAATATAGGAGTGGCATAGAAAAGTTTACGTATACATTATCGGCCGTGGTCGCGTCGATCTGACCTCCACCTTCGAGGCCGCTCAATGCATTGAACATACCTGCAAGGTATGATCAGATAGACCAACATGAGCAAGCAAATTGAGGAAAAGAATTCAGAACCCTTTATGACACAATGAGAATCAATAATTTCAATCTACCTCGCCTGGGCAACAAAAACAGACAAAATGACGATCTGGATCAATGGATGTCTATATCCCATGTTGGACTGGGACGCTTCGAGTAACTTTGAAACGCGACAGAATTCATTGCATATGAATCGATTGGCCAGACACCAATCCTTGGTACTACCGCTTCACTACGGTTGTCCACCGATGCTCTGGGCATGATTATCGAGAGCAATTCTTTGCACATAAAGGCATAAACACATATAAGAATACATTCAGCTTTCTACCCTCATCCTTTGGCAATTTTTCATTTTTTTTTCTCTCAAAAGCTGAGATTTGTCAGATAATCTTGATGTCATGTTTTACTCGAGTCAACCCGGATCTGCTGGATGAAGATAAGAGCATCTACAGGGTGGTTTCAGTCTGCCGAGCTGCTCACAATTGGTGACCTATTGAAAGTTCGAGTCCCAAGGCATCAGATCATCATACTGTTCATTGGTGGCTTTTTCTGTTTTCAAGATGCCCATCTATGCCCACGTCACAAGATATTTATTGCAGGCTTAAGGTAGCAAAACGTGTCGGTATCATGACCGGTGATAAACCCAACCCAGAATCTTATTTGAGCGGAGGCCTTCGGATCGGGGTCACCCGTCTGCTCATTGATACACCTGATTGAGCAGCGTGACTGATAAGGCTTTTTTTAGATGGGTCCGAGACCCCTCCTATCCCGTTCAAGCTTTTTGCGCAAGATCATGCCGGCAAATCACGCACAGTTCTCGAAACCCGCATACCCTCGCGATTTGTCTCCGATGGCAGCAAAGTCAATTGACAAGACCTGAAATATGAATCATGCCAAAATTTTCCTAAACAAAAACTGATCATAGATACAATGACGATCTGGATCAACGGATGTCTATATCCCATGTTGGGCCGCGATGCTTCGAGTAACTTTGAAACGCGACAGAATTCATTGCATATGAATTGGTTGGCCAGAGACCAATCCTTAGTACTGCTGCTTCACTATGGTTGTCCATCAATGCTCTGCGCATGATTATCAAGAACGATTGCTCATACATAAAGGCATAGACACATATAAGAGTACATTCAGCTTTCTACCCTTATCCTTTGGCAATCTTTGATTTTTTTCTCTCAAATAAGCTGAGATTTGTCAGATAATCTTGATGTCATGTTTGACTCGAGTCAACCCGGATCTATTAGATGAAGATAAGAGAATCTACAGTGTGGTTTCAGTCTGCCAAGCTGTGTGTAGTTTTGAAATGAACAAGTAGCAAAACATGTTGCTGGGCAAGATCAGGATTGGTGACCTATTGAAATTTCGAGTCCCAAGGCATCGGATCATCATACTGCTCATTGATGTCTTTTTCTCGGCTGGTGTGATGTTACGTCCAAAGATGTTTTCAAGATGCCCATCTATGCCCATGTCACAAGATATTTTGTATAGCAATCTTGAGGTAGCAAAACGTGTTGGTATCATGACCGGTGATAAACCCCAGAATCTTATCTGGGCAGAGTTTGGATCGGGATCACCCGTCTGTCCATGAATGACTGATAAGACTTGTTTTAGATAGGTCCGAGACCCCTGCTATCCCGTCCAATTTTTTTGCGCAAGATCTTGCCGGCGAATCACGCGCAGTTCTCAAAACCCACATACCCTCGCGATTTGTCTCCAATGGCAGCAAAGTCAATTGAAAAGACCTTAAATATGAAGCATGCCAGAATTTTCCTATGTACAAATCTACATGAGTGCGGTCTGATTTGTTGAGCTCGTCGGAGAACCTGCTGTGAATCAGGAGGTGCACTGCGTAGAGCCATTGATGGCGTGCTGGATTGCGTTTATCGTTCATCTTGAGACGGTTGTGAGGTGTTGTTGATCACTGACACCGTATAGATCCTTAACCAAGCCTTGAAACGTGTTTTTTTTGTTGAAAACTGGCTTGCAAACAAAAAGAGACACATGTTTGAGCCAAGAAATCAAAAGGCATCTCAATTGCGCGGTGGGATGTTTCTGCTGGCAAGGTCTTTTCTGTAGAAAAAAATGAATTTGTTGAAGCAGGGCATCATGATTGGTGACTGAACCATTCGGTGAGAAATTAACAAAAAAATTGTGAGAGAATTTATGATTGTAGGTCACACTATAAAAGGGCCCATCTCTTCAACTCAGAAGGATTCCAATCAACTGTGCTTTACTTGGTGTTCACTTGATATCACTTCCATATTTCACACCCTTCAGAATTGAATAGTCTTCTCCATTTGGGCTCTACACAGCATGATTTGAACCCCCTTTGCGATACTCATCCTTTTGATTGGGATTTACTGTGTGACATCACTTACAATAGATGATCGTGAGTTTTGAAATATGATGGGAGCTCTGTGGTCAATGAACTTATCTTTCAAATTTGACATGGACAGCTGCAGTAACAGAAGCTGCAGAGAAATTCAGAAAGGGGTTCATGATAGACGTCGTGGCAAACAAAAACGTCCACATAGATGCACCAAATGTAGAGGCATTGATCTCTGATGATGTCCCGGTTACTTACAAAGGTCGTCCAGTCAAGAGAGATGGTGAGTTTGTCCACAACAATATAAATATTGATATCACAAGGGATTGTGCATCTCATAAAAGCTGATGAAATTCAATCCCATATTTGAACTATTGGAAATATTCCAACTGATAGAATTGCCTTGCTACTGTACAAGGCACATAGAGGGAATTGTGGAAGGTAAGCCCTTAATAGAAAATCAGGATAAAATCACCTTCATGGATTCCATTCAATGATGTTTCTGTTATCACCAGGGACAATGACACAAAAGGGAGAAAATGTTATTGTTTCTTTTGTAAAAGACGGAGTCAATGTAGCTGTCATTGAATTACAAGGAGAAGGAGAAGCTATCCAGATTGTCAAAATAGATATCAAAAGATGTCCTAAGACTAGACATTTTCCATATTCCTAGACCACCAGTGGCCTAGACAGTACCTCACATGTGTCTGCTTGTACTAAAGCATTCTGGGCCAAGTATCAATTGATCATAAAAACAAGGTATATTGGTAGTGTTGGACTTCCCGCTTGTGA